AGACTTTATCTTCTTAAAGTCAAGGAATTAAGTCCTCCTCCCCTTTCCTCTTTTCCTCCAAAAAAAAAAATAGAAAATAAGAGAGAAAAGAGATGTAGATGTGGATTAGCAAGGTTATGTGATATTGGAAAGTGTATTGGTTAAGTTGATTTTTTTGTGAAAAAAAAAATTATAATGAATTTTTATTATTAAATTAAAATAGATAAAGATTGAATGAATCTTGACTGTTGTTATATTTTTATAATTGAGAATTCAACTTCTTATTGTAATATTTAATTGATTTAAAATGCATAACATTACTTGAAATAAACAACCCAAACCATAAGAGGTGGACAATAATTTCAGAAACAAAGGGGCATGGTCTACAATAATCAGAAACTCAAAGGAACATCACTGTAATTTTTTCTTTTCTTTTTCTTCTTTTTGTTTTTTTTTCTTGTTTAATTTGGCAAAAAATGAAAGTGAGTCAATGAAGCTGAAAGCTCAGATTCCATTCAAAATTCAAAGTTCAAAACCCAGAGTGGGCCCTCCGCACTTGAACTCCACTGATAGGGTCACACACACCTTTCTCGTACTTTTCTTTCCCTCTTTCTCACCTATTTTCTCTTCTCCTCTCTCTGTATTCTCTGGAATTTAGAGAGAGAGAGAAGATATCCGATCGACTGTGTCACATTTCCATCATCGGAAACGATCTCAGTGGAAAAGGTTGAAAAACGTAAATTCAGAACGAATCTACAATGGCTATCGAAGTAAAAGGCGTTCTATCTCACGGTGGAAAATACGTTCAGTACAACGTCCTCGGAACCCTATTCGAGGTCTCCGCCAAGTACGTCCCTCCGATTCAACCCGTCGGCCGTGGCGCTTACGGCATTGTTTGGTAAAATCTTCTTTCCTTTCCTTTCCTTTCCTCTCACTTCTTCTTTTTTTTTTTTTTTTATAGCTGCGTTTATATTTGCACAAGCAATTACACGAAGTCGCCCGCCCTTATTTCTTAATTTCCTGAGTTTTTCTCTGCAATCAAACAAAGACTTAATGATAGGACTAAAGATTAGCTTTCTTTCCTCTTACTTTACCCACTCTGAACTCTTTAGCTTGTCGATCTTATGTTTTCTTTGCTTCCAAAAACCAAATGGGGATGCCATATTTCCAGTTCATTTATTAGTTGTTTGCCTTTTGTTGGGAATCAAAGAGTAGAAAATGTTTGATGCTGAATGTGTATCTTACCCAGAGGAGTGTTTTTGGCGAGCATCATTTATTCGATTTCCTTCGCTCAAAATGCCAGTTCAAACGTGTGACTTAGGGCTCATTTGGGCTCAGAAAACTTGAAATTTACAGCGACGAAGTGCGTTCTATGACTTTATATTTTCTACCCAATATTTACGGTTATATGATAAAGTTGAAGTCAAATAATTAGCCAATGTGACTGATAATATTATTAGAATTTGAAAAGAAAATTTGTTATCCATGTGCAAGTTATATGTCTAATAAACCCCTCCGCTTCACATGTATATTCAATTGATGAGTGCAATTTTAAGGCTAATTGCCTAAGAGACAGGAATATCTGTTATTTGCTTGCTGAACATTTTTTAAGATTTCATAATGGTATTAATTTGTGATCACTGGTGTAAGCTCTCTAATGTGTTTCTGGTTCAGTACTTGCAATTTTTTTTTTTTTTTTTCAGTTTTAATTTGTCAATTTGGATGGTATTCATTTTCTTGTCACAGCTGCGCTACAAATTGTGATACAAAAGAGGAGGTTGCAATCAAGAAAATCGGGAACGCATTTGACAACAGGATTGACGCTAAAAGGACCCTGCGAGAGATCAAACTCCTTAGCCATATGGATCATGCCAATGTACTCACAGTTGCACATATATTATTATTATTATTCTTATACCTTGCAATTTGTGAAAACAAAATTCCTGGCACTTAGTTCATTTTTTGAATTTTGCTGTTGCCTATCATGGCAAATGATGCCACTACAAGTTATAGGGCTGTGTAATTTTCTGTTCATAATACATGGCTATGTTCTCCATAAAGTAGTGGTGTCATTGGTAAATTCAAGATTGCAGAGTGGAAGATAAAATGGATGTATGCATAACCCTTTTCTTTTTTATTGTTTCTATGTTATTCTGTGGACAGAAAATGATTTAATATACTAATTTTCTGCAGATCATCAAAATTAAGGACATCATAAAGCCACCAGAGAGAGAAACGTTTAATGATGTTTACATTGTGTATGAATTAATGGATACTGATCTACATCAGATTATTCGCTCTTCTCAGGCACTCACTGAAGATCACTGCCAGGTAAGTGATATCTTCTGCTACCATGCTATTATTTCTTTATTAGGCTGAGAGTTGTAGCAGTTAAAAGCTGTTACAAATGCACATCAACATTGTTTTCTCAAACTGTAGTCTTTCATCCCCATGGTTATGAATACATAAGGGGTTTATGTCCCATTTTCTGTTTTGGTGCTTTTTAATGCTGTATGATGCCTTTCCTAATACAATATAAGATCCCAAATAAAGCTTCGGTTAAGTTCCTGATTGAGCAGTGCTTTTAACTTACTTTTGATAGCCTGACCATCAGGAGTGTTTCCATTTACCATTTTCTTTTAATGATTCCAAATGGATTGTACAGTGCATAATACACCCCATCATTTTACTTGTTGCGATTATTTTTTTTTTAACTTTCCAAGTCTAGGATGTCCTGATGAACGGAAATAGCTAACCAATTCAAAGTAATCACTAATCAAACTGCTTTTCATTAAGGCAAAATACAGTAGTTTTAAGTTACTGTTATATGCTAATATAGTTATTAATATATTGGTTTCCTGTGGAAGGCTATTCCTTGTAGGGGTTCTATAGGGTATTTTAAGTTACTGTTATTTGCTAATATAGTTATTAATATATTGGTTTCCTGTGGAAGGCTATTCCTTGTAGGGGTTCTACAGGGTATTTTGTGAGTAAAGTAAGTAGACTAGAATCTTCAAATCATCATGCAGTTATGTGATTTTGACTTTGTCCTATTATGTAAATTACCACCATTTTAAAGGTGTCATGTTAGTCAGAAGCTTTGAGTTATTCTCAATGAGTCATCAGTCATGCCAACTAAATTGAGATGGTTATAAGCGTCCTTTCCAACTTGCACCATGTAACTGAATGTTTTGATTTACAATTCTTCCAAGTAACAATACTAGAGAACTGATGAGGGCTTAACATAGTTTGCAGTAATGCAAAGCTACAACTTGTACGTTGCTAGCTGACTCAGTCGCCATTATATTTGTTAATTGAGTGAGCTGCTGATTTTGCGTGTCCTTATACGTTATTATGCATTTCAAGATCTAAATTTTTGGAAATAATGCCATTTGGTTAATGCATTGCATTTATCTGTCTGGCAGTACTTCCTTTATCAGTTGTTACGGGGACTGAAGTACATACACTCTGCAAATGTTTTGCACCGAGATCTGAAACCAAGCAACTTGCTTCTCAATGCAGACTGTGACCTCAAGATTTGTGATTTTGGGCTCGCAAGAACCACCTCTGAGACAGATTTCATGACAGAATATGTTGTAACCCGATGGTATCGAGCACCTGAGTTGTTGCTCAATTGTTCAGCATATACAGCAGCAATTGATATTTGGTCAGTTGGTTGCATTTTAATGGAGATTATTAAAAGAGAACCTCTTTTTCCGGGTAAAGACTATGTTCAGCAGTTGGGGCTCATAACTGAGGTACTTTTCCTCCTCAGACTTCATGTTAAGTTCTTTTTCTTTGTTTTTTTCTAGAATGAATTATAGATATTGCGACAGTATTTGATGGAATCCTTTTGTGATGACTCCTAAAATAGCTGTTAGGTTCCCCGGAAGAGTCAGACCTTGGATTCCTAAGGAGTGATAATGCTCGGAGGTATGTCAAGCAGCTACCTCATTTCCCAAGGCAACCTTTTCTGCAGAAGTTCCCAGATATGTCCCCAGTTGCCATTGACCTGGCCGAGAAAATGTTAGTTTTTGATCCAGCTAAACGCATTACTGGTAGGCTTCCCAATATTCAAAAATACTTTGACATTGTTACCATTTAATCAATACCAATTTTTTCTGCAACTGATGGAAATTTCTTCTCGCATGATATTTCTGTAGTTGAGGAAGCACTGAACCATCCATTCTTATCAAGTCTTCATGAGATCAATGAAGAGCCTACTTGCACATCTCCTTTCATCTTTGATTTTGAACAATCTTCCTTAAGTGAAGAAGACATAAAGGAGCTAATATGGAGTGAGTCTGTAAAGTTCAACCCAGAAGAGCTATTGAAGTAACCGCACCAATATTCTCGGTTTTTGTTGTTTACTTCGTTGATGTCCTGTTTGAGTGTTTGATTTTCGTTTGGATTATAATAAATGTACAAAAATGTTTGAGTTTCCATATAAGCAGAGTGGTTAAGGAGATAGGTTCTCCCTTGTATCGAGCCAGGAATGAGATTTTGTTTCCATTTTTATATGGCTGGGTTGGGTTGAGGGGTGCACGATTGTAATTGAAAATTGATATGCGATAAAAGGTTAATCTCTTAGCCTTAAGAATGTATTGCTGTTCTATGTTTTGTACCAGAATCAGCTTCATTAAGAGTTACCAATATTGAAATCAGTCAGAAGGTGGTGTTGCTACAGGCTGAATGCACATAAGACGTACATGTGCTTATTTGGAGTTCTAAATTTGCAATCAATTTTCAAATAAATTAACTTAATTGATAAAACTTTATCAAGTGTGTAAGGTCCAGTTTTATTCTGAACTTCGTTAAATATTTGTTTTATTCCGCACGTGAGAAAATTTGGCGCCTAAACTAACCAACAGAATACAAACTGCCTTAACTAACTAACTAACAAGAGTGACCGCCTTAACTAACCAACAGAAGTCGCCAAGAAAACCATCTTATAGTTTGTCTCCTCTTATATCTCTGAATCCGCAAAACCCTAGAACTCTCTCTCTCTCTCTCTCTCCACAATGCCGAGAGCTGTAGTACCATGGAGATCATCTCCACCTTCCAGCAAAGACTACATTACTATTGATGTGGAGGAGGCTATTCCTGAACTTCCGCTGTACCACAGGCGTCCTGGTATCGCCGGAGGGAATTCTTGCGATTCCGGTGGTCAGACAAATTGATTCATCTCATCCCTGTGATTGTGTTGCTTTGTCTCTTCATTCTCTGGTGGTTCTCTAATCCGGGTATGTTTCCAATGGATTCAAGAACACTTGCTATAATTTGTGTAAATTTTTCATTGATTTTTCTTGGAATATATGTGGGTTCTATGGACCATTTTTTGTGTGTTTATGCCTGCGATAGCTCTTAATATGGGTTATTGCTTTAACAGATTTGACAAATAGTCTAGTAGAATCTTCTTGGTGGAAATTTGAAGGAAAGGATCATGACAGTCTTTTTGATCAAGAACTCAACTGTAATTCTCTTACTGCATTTTTCTCTAATGAATCTATTCTGCTCTCTGTATGTGTTTATGTATTTGTTTGTGCGGGGGGTTTTTTTTTTTTGTGTGTGTGTGTGTTTTTTTGGGGGGAGCTTGATTCACCTGAAGTGTTTGGTTGTTGAGAAAACTGTGTAATAAAAAGAGAAAAAATTAGGAATCTTTCAAATGGTTGTGTTCATTGTATCCTCAGTAGAACAACAGAGCTGTTTATCGAACAAGACGGTGTTAAATTTTTCATAGCAGGGTTTTTTTTTGGGGGGGGCTTGTAAGATGAAAAATCGCTGTCCTACTCTGTTTGGCTGCTGAGAAAAAAATGAGAAAGAAAAAAGCTAAGACTTTGTGCAACACATTTCCCATTATTGGGGGACCTTTTAACTTATTATTTCCTACTATGGCAAGACAAGAGTAGCAGTTGACATCAATCAGGCAACAAAAGAGACGTTTTTCAAATGTTCTTATGTTATCTAATTCTCCTAAGTTAACTTGTCCGTTTAGGATTAGTTAATATGTTTTAGGAGTCTATAGAGTACCCAAATCTCTATTATTAATGTGATTCCTAATTAGTGTTTATGTTTCTACTTTCAAAACAGTGAACGTGGAGATTGACGATGGAAGAATCACAGCAGTCCACCCGATAGAGATGTTACAGTCTCTCAACGAAACCCGCGTCGATTTTACCATCCTGGCATCGTCTACCCCACCCATTGCCTCAGTTCCGCAGATACTGGCACCACTCACTGAAATGGCGTCACAGTTGATTGGTGTAACTGATTGAAGATTGTCATTTGCTCTTGACATGTGAAAAATGATATTTTTAAGAACTTTATGCTTGTCCGTATTGTGTATAGAATCAAAAGCAGATATGAGGTGAAAATTAGGTTCTTTTCCTTCTTTACAAGAACAATTCTCCTACTGTGACTTAGCCTCAAATAGAAGGGAAGTTGAGTGACGACAGCTATAGTTGTGCACTTGTGACTAAACCAAGTTTTAGATGCCTCACATTTTACGGAATCAGTGTTGGTTTCGAAGGAAGTTCTGGTGGAATCAGATATGAGAAGGAAAAAAGCGTTTGTGTTGATCAAAACCAAGTTAATAGATGATGGCAGTAACAGGTAGGGATGTAATCCGTGTTTTTTTTTAGGAGTCTTAGCCCAATAGAGTAGCACGGTCTAGCCTAAAAACATGGCCCCCGTGTAGGTTTACAACTTGCCTCATCATCTAGTGAATATTCCAAAAAGAATTAAAATTTATTATTCACTCAAAATAAGAAAACACAGACAAATCAACAGTGGCTGAGAGATTGATTGATCAGGCTGGCTTGGCCCTGACAAAAGTTCAATACATCCTCCTCAAGGTACAAACCAGCATGCTGGCTCTGTATAAAGCTCTCCAGTAGCAATGCACCAAGGCAAGCTGATAGCACTCAACATGACCAAAAATTACACACAATACAATTGTAAACGAAGCAAAATCCCCAAGATGATTTACAAAATTTGACCTCAAGTTATAGCAATTTATTTAATGCCAAACATAACACCCCCCCCCCCCCCCCCTCTTTCTCCTCCAAAAACCAAAAACCAATCAATGGCAGATCTTTACCAAAAAAGGAACAAATGGGAGATCAACTTATTAAATTAGGACAGTCCAACAATAATATAAATGCATGATATGCACCTACTGTTACGACGTCACCTCTTTTAGATGAGTGAGGAGCAGACGAACCACCATGGGAGCTTCAAAATAGCCTCGAAATGCACCGCTCTATGATTATGTCTGGGAAGTGATTTCGTTTCTTTTTTCCTAACAAATTGGAGAAATAATAATTCACTTTGACCTTTTAACGAAGCACTCTCAACCACAATCATACTTTAACAATCGGATGCATATCCACATATGACTTTGCCGGAATGAACCACGCATCTTCATAGCTTAAAATTCTTGTCCCGATCAGCATGAGATAAGATTGGATCTAATCCATAATTCAGTTCAACCTGCTCAGCTCTGCCAAAAGAAGATATCATTAGCTGGAGCTCCCAAAAGGACATCAAGTAATTAAAAGGTTTTAGTTTAAAGGAATAGGCAGGTCTGCGCATCAGAATTCAGAAGTGATATGCCGCATGGGACAGCAGCAGCACTGCAGTTGCATCAATGAATTTTACCTACAGTTCAAATGACGGGTACTTACCTACAGTTCAAATGACAGGGTCAACCAAATAGAATGGACAATAATTTTTTGGGTAAATAGAATGGGGAAGATTCGGATTACTTTTCTGACCAGGTCGACCGAAACAGTCTAAACTGATGCTGAAGATCATTACCAATATTGCATGAAGTTCTACTCCTATTTCCACTGTTCTCTTTCTTTTACCTTTGTTATTGTTTTTAATTTGCTCTCTGTTTTGACTACCGAAGGACAGAGAAAAACAGGGAAAAATAAAAAAGAAAAATAGCCTCTGCAAGGAAGCATGTCTCTAATAAAATCTCAGGCCATAATACACCCAATCACAGAGAAGGGGATTTTAAAAAATGAACCTTCGAAAATCAGTCCTGTTGACTGAGCATATCAGGTTCAATTCAAAGGAACAGATGCAACAAATAAGAGTTCTCAACACGTAATGTATCAACAAGAGTTTCATGTGGCTCTTCTGAGCCAATCCCCGACTTGATTGTAATGAATATTTTGTTACAATACTCCAAGTCAACTTGTGAGTGTTAGAAAAATTAGATCAGACCACAAAAATTACAAATGAGGGAGTCTAGGAAGCACAGACACTTCGCAGAAGGTGAATGTGGCGGTATCGGACACATAACATGGATGTTGGATACACATGGGACACAGCCGGACATGTGTTCGACACTTCTACACGTGTCCTAAATAGTGAATAATGATTTTTTTATGTCGGATACGGCTTGGATACGAGGTGATACAGGGAATAAGGGGCCGAAAAAAAAAAAAAAAAAGGAAAGATCATTGATGGAACAGAGAGGAGAGAAGAACAGGCGAAGATACATACGTTTGAAAGCCATGGATCTGAAAGCCACTGATCTGGCCACGAGTTCTTCAGCCACAGATGTGAAAGCCATTGATCTGGCCAGGTATGTCTCGAACTCTTCCTCCTCTTCTTCTTTCCCCTCCTTCACCAGAAAGGTCTGACCCCCTCTCTCTCTCTTGCCCTCTCTATGCGATCTGTGTGCAATTGTGGAGAACGGCTTACCCTACCTCTTTACCTTTACTCTTTTATATTTTTTTTTCACTCCTGCTCTCGCTCTCTCTCTCTCTATTTGAACACATTAAATTTTAGTTTTTTTTAAATATTATTCCTTTTTTGGTATAATCTATTTATTAGTTTTCAAATACATTAACTCGTTATCCAATTTGTTATTACTCCTTCAATTATAACATATTAACCCAGTGTCTAATTTAAAATTAGCTCATTATCCAATTATAAGATATTAACCAATTGCTCAATGTTTATTAGGTCGTATTATTAATGTTTTTATTTATATTAAAATATATAATAATATTTTAATTAGCCACACCGTGTCCTATATTTTGAAACTTTGTCGTATCTCCATGTCCATATCCATACTTCTTAAGAGGGAAGTGAAAAACATTTGAGTCCTAGATATTGCCAATCCACATGTTGTCAAGAGAAATTGACAAAGAAATAGAGTGAAAACTAATGAATTTTGAAGATGAAGTGAAAGTTCTGATTACAGTGCCAATTCCAATGATCATATTTGAAAGAATGAAATGTCATGGCATTGGTTGGGCAAAGCACTGGTTGGATGAAAGCAGTAATTTGAATAATCCAAGCTTCTGGTTGCTCAGAGAAAAAAGGGGGGAAGGGGGGAAAGAGAGCAGACAATGGAGGCTTTGTATTTGCATGGGAAACCTGAAGAAGTGAAAAACCAAAAGCCCCTTTGTTTCTGTCCAAGTTAAAGATTAATAGCAGAGAACTGTTCTAGTTCTCCATCTACTGCACCCCAAGTGCAAATCTAGTATAATTCCCACAGAAAAATAAAGAATGAAAGAAAGCAAATAAAAAAAAAATGGTGTCACGGAAGATAGTGATGCTGGTTGATGTAGTAAATTATTATTCGATGTCACCACTGCTATTTTCTCATTCATGATCTTTTAATAATCTGTCTGATGCAGTAAAAATTATAGCAATGTCAAAATGACTAATGCCTAGCATTAATTTTGTTTGTGTGCATAGAGTCGTAGCTAATTTTCTATCATATATACCATTCAATATTAGATTATAAACAAAACTAGAAGGAAAAATCTATATTTCTACGGTTGTTAAACATATTATGTGCATACCTTTGTCTAACTTTAAGGATTCCCGTTCCTATCTGTATTGGTATACCCATAATGATGCATTCACTCACTCCTTCGATCTTGTCATGCCTGCCATTTACAGAAGCATTGAAAAGGTGATCTGCTGTCTTTTCAAATGAAGCCAGCATCAATACACTATCCTTCATTTTCTGAACACCATGCCTCGTGATTCCTAAAACTTCCCCCTGAAACAACCAGCCATCAAATCGTGAATCTTCACCTAGCCTATGAATCCAGATCTGAACAAGACCCCAAAATTTGACCAATATTTAAGCTTGTACAACACAAGATTCTTATGATTTCAGAGAAACACTAACCTTAAATGTCATCAGATCTGCTAAAAGCATCATATGCCGTACGTCTATCTTCATACCATGACTAGACATGGTATATTGGATCTCATCGACTATGGACCTTCTGGCAGCTTCAATTCCAAGTGTTTGCTGCACTTCTATAACATGATTACTGGTTGTTTTATGTCCATCAACTCCTTCAGTTCCCATGACTTCCTGCAGACCCGTTCTGAAAAAAGCAAAGCAAATATTAATATTGGAACAAAAGCAGTATGCAACAAAACAATATCATGCCATACTCTGAGGGTACGCCTGAACCTGACACTCATTCACACACAATCAGTCCTTTAACCACTCAAAGAAAGGTGGCTGGCTCACTCTGCATTCAAATTTAGCTCTTTAGCATATTAAGCACAATGAAGTAATGACAGACAGCCAAATGAAAGCCATACTGTCACAGGCACTTTCTTGTGAAACTCTTACTCCACGTAGTATGGACCCTAAATAACTCATCTGATATTTGTTTTCTAATGTCACAACAACAAACTAGCTAATCCCATTTCAGATACTAGTTTCTTTCACATATGTATCGTGAGGACTTCTACAAACAACATTCTCAAATTTTATTAGCCTGATGGCACATGATCAATAAAAGCAAGATATGTCTGTGGACACAAGCATGCGCAGGGTGCAATCTGACTTCCCTTCTTGAACGCTTCCCAAGTAAATTACATGTCAGGCACATACCCGAACAGGTGATCACTTGTCTACTGTTCAATAAAAGTGCCCTTGGCACCATCATACTCTGGCCATACTTCACATTCCCCACAACAAACGGAACCAACCCCCTCCCCCCCTTCTCTCTCTCTCTCTCTCTCTGATTAAACCATCACCATAATCATTATCAATAAAGAAATTCATGGGTACCAAATTTCCAAATGAAAATGATAAATGTCACCACCTTTAAGTATTATTGCACAAATGGATGCAAGTGATAATTTCTTGTTTCAAAAGATCATTAAGAAGGATAAAATTAAGCACACTTTATACCCTGCCATGCAAGCAACAACATAGTACAATAATTAAAAGCCATCCGAAAGGAGGGGAATAGGAAAAGGCATCAACTTAGTACATGCATAGCCGACCTCTGTCTCTCTTCCTCTACTCTCTCTCTCTCATATTCCACTTATACTAAGCTAAGGTATTGTTCGATAAACATAAAAATTAAGTAACAATGAATAACAAGAGTTGAAGACCATAAGCTTCTGAATTTTAATATTTGGATAACACTTTGGCATGCAATAAAATACAGAATTTAATTAAACAGTCTGATAACAATGAAAGCAGAGCGGTCTGCAAAATTTTAATATAATATACGACTTTGCCCATCAACTCTTACAATTAAAATTCATTTTCACAAATTTATCCAACATCAACTCACGGCGACACGGTGGAAGCAAACAAAATGAAATCCTAATTGAGTATCCAAATTTCATTTGCCCAAAACTAAAATGGCTTGGTGTATTTATTGAAAGGTGTGAATCAAAATGGTTTCACATAGAAAAAATGAAAGAATACACTGAGATTGAAATCAGAAACATGATACAACTCTAAGTTTAGACATAATTGAAAGCCTGGGTTTCGTTGAGATGCTAAACTGCTCTCTTGTTTGTCAATAGGACAGCCATCAGCAATAACTGATAAGTTATCTTCCAGTAAAAGAAAATTGACGTTTACATCAAAATACTTCAATTTTCCTCTTTTTCTTCTCAAAATCTGACAAGATTGTATAACAACCCACCTTTGATTGTCAACCTTTTCAATTCTTAAGTCGTAGTTTTTCAAATTTTAATCGTATGTCTAGGTTTTATATTTGTCATAACTGCAGAAGTATAACTTAATATGGAGCTATTACTGACCCTTCAACAAGTAAGTTGTAATTCTGTTCCTGGGTTTTCTTATCTTTATATCTGTTTATTACTGCACGTTCAACTGCACTGATACCCTGCCATCCAAAGACAACAAAATAAAATTACAAACCCATTAGAGCATTTCAAACCAAATGATGGAAAACGTTTGTTCAGTAGGCAAAAACACCATCTCACCTTCACAACTACTGTTGGAAGTTTATTTTTGAGCCAGTGGAGTTCAAAATGAAGTTTACTTCTATCAGTCTGAGGAATAACTTGCAGTTTTTTAACATCCAATACCTTAATATGCTGCAGGAAACATACATTATGAGTGGTTATCGAGCACAACAATTAGACCCATGGGGGTACGGTTAGGGGGGTGGGGGTGCAGGAGGAGGGGAAGATTGAAAATGTCTCACCTGCTCCTTCAGTTTAATTTTTGGGGTCCGCAATATTGATTCTTTTACAACATATGCATCTATACCAAGTTGGGAAGCTTGAATTATTTCCATGTCAAGTGTGACAACAACAGATGCTAATCTCGCGGCCATCACTATCTTTACACTCTTCGCAACCTACATATCAAGGATACGGTCAACTTAAGGATTACATACCCAATAAAATAGTAAAAGAGTGCTGATTAAAAAAAAAGTAAGAAATTAAATGAGTGATTCATGAAAAATTTTCGAAGGCCATATGATGAAAATCAGGTGACTACAAGAAGTCTAGACAACCTGAGTCTCACAGGAGATTGGTTGAATGAAATAGACTCCTACACAAAACTGGAGCAAAGTAGAAATGAATGCTAAAAGAAGTAGTGATGACCCAATACACGAACAAAAATGCTAAACCAACAATTCACAAGTTTTAATTTGAGAACAGAAGAAGACCAGATTAACAGGAAATGGATTGAAAAGCTGCAAACTAGTGAGTCATAAGACAACTGAATAATACCACGTAATACCAATTTTGGAATATGCACAGCGAAACAAAACTACAAACGAGGGATAATAATACCACGTAATGCCAATTTTATAATATGCACTTCGAAATAAGATTTTGGAAATAATATAACCAACTAGCATGCATGTATAGAAACTTCTCCAGGTTCACCATTACCATAGGTGTTGGATAATGAGTATGAATCACAATCATTAGCTCACATGCAAAAATATTTACCTGCCCTAAAACCGTTTTCTCAATACGATCCTTGACCAATCTTGCAGATTTCAAGTTATCATCACATTTAAGTGTGGCAGTAATGATTGGTGTACTGATTTTTTTGGCTCCATTTATGATTTCTTTAATTCGAGGAACTCCAAGTGTAATATCTAACAGAGAATTAAGGTAATAGAATCTCAAACGAAAATTAAAACTTAAGAACCAGGTTGCAAATGGTAATCAAAAAGTTATGTATCAATTACAAAAGGATACTCATGCTTGCAACTCCAGCAAAGTGAAATGTTTTTAGTGTCATCTGTGTCCCTGGCTCTCCTATACTCTGAGCTCCAATTGCACCAATTGCAGTTCCAGCTTCAATTGTTTTTCGACTATAACGAGAGATGCAGGTTTCCACAAAAACCTACAATATTGGTAAAGAAGCACTGCCATTGTGAGTTCCGTGTCACAAGTATTACAAAAACACAGTAAACACTTAAATTCTACTGTATCCAAATAAACCAAGCCTAAATATGAACAAAGTGCAACCTACATGGAAAACCTAGACAAGAAGTAGCTGAAACAATGACCATAGAAAATGACATATTTGTGGTTCTTCATTACCTTGTTAGCTTTCCAATTTCCTTTATACTTCTCTAGTTCAAAACCAATTCTTGTAAGTAATATATTCTTCATTATTCAACATTAAAGATTCTAGAGAAGTGAGAAGTTGAAATATAATACAATTCCATGTATGAAAATTAACAAAACTTTCACCAGGATGTTCAAACAGGACAATTTTGCACCACGTGATCAAAAAGCAATGCCTCAGAGGAAAGGTTGAACCTTTTTCTAAATAAATTCTAAAATACAGCTAATTTAACCCCAGTGGGGAACATTCGTTGGGCCATTCTTTTTGGCATTACAATGTCTATGCTATAGTCATACTACTCGACTACTATACAAACCAAGACACATTTGGAATATTTGCGTTTAAAGCAAGTGATCATACGATCATACCCAAACCCTACACTAAGAGCAGTTGCAGTTGCAGTTGCTAGATGTTTATTGGCCGACTGCCAAAGCTATCAAGTGTGCATACCTATTCATTTGATAACTAATGAGTTCTAAGAGCGTGACGACAACATTTTCGTCCATTGACTGAAACTGGATATAACACTCGAGTGTGTGTGTGTGTGTGTGTGTGTGTGTGTGTGTCAGTCAGAGAGAGATAGAAGGGGGAAGCAAAGCTGGTGACACTGTATGGGATTTCAATGTAAGAGCTGCACTTCCTACGAAAGGCCCAAGAATTTAGTTTACAAGAATTAATGACAGTTTGATTACATTAGAATCCAGGATTAAAATCTCATGCTGAAAAAGGACTGTTAAGAGAAAGGACAAATGTTAGAATACACAAATATTGAGTAAAAAAGGAAAAAGAGAAATTCCAAAGTAAACATTAATGCAGAATGGTATATACCTGTAGTTGCCTGGAAGTAACACCAGATATATTTTGAGCAATACTTTTAAGCAATTTGAGATTCTCTTCTGTATATTGCCCTTCATCCAATTTCAGAGCCTGCCTGGTGCTTTCTAATTTTTTAACATACTTAGTAATGAAGTTTAACAGTAACTCATTGAAGGCCTTTGAGCAACCCCCTTCAGGAGTCATATCATGTTCTGAGAACCTTTCTTCCATCACTTTGAGGATTTCAGAAGGAGACATGCTCACGTGTTCTCTAGCAGGGCATGTAGCCTGCAAAGTTACAAATTGTCAATTTAAACCACACAAAAAAATCAGTTGGGTTCCAAATGATGTAAGAGCTCAGACCTTGACTTTCAGAAATAATCTATCGAAATTTAGAGGAAATCCATCTGCCCCTTCCATCTGTGATGGATCCATGCCATCATCACCGTATATAAATTGGACTATACAAGCACTAGCATTGCGCACAGTGTTGTCATAATGAATGGACAGGTCCTCCAAAGCTTTAATTAGTCTACGAGACATGTACCCTGTCTCAGCTGTTTTAACCTAAAATAATTACAGCAATTTAAGAAGCATAATCTGAGTGCCAAAAATCAAGTAAAACCAGGTAGCACTAAACTACAATATTGCGTATGATCAACATAATGGAAAAACTACATAAATGTTGCCTTGTAAATTACTAGTGCCCAGATATTTTCAGAAAGATTATTTTTACTTGAGCCATCTCCAAAAACCCACTTTCACATATAAATAGAGTTAAGAAAAATTACTCAATTGTTGTAAAAAGAGGTCCGAAATCATTTGTACACGAATTAACTAAAAACCTGAACTTACATTTGTTAACAGGTGAAGAAATTCAACAAATTAAAAAAAAAACTCTTTCACAGTCACATATGTCAAAGGAGTAATAGATATATTCAACTTTGAGTTAACAAACCATACCCATCAGCAACCACTCGGAGGTTAACAAGAGGGACGAACCAATATTTGATCTACGTACATATTTTTTCCTCTCTGGGCAAGTTTTGGGCTGTTCTTTTTTCCGTGGGAACGGGGGAGTACTGGGGTTATGGGAGACGGTGAATTGTCTTAAAAAAAGGACATAATAGTTTATTCTGAATTGACCCCAAAGTTGAAATACTTTGAAGTAAGTACATATTTTTAACTGCCAGAATCTCAGAATATGTTACAACGTGCAGGCTATACCTATGTCACACCATAAAATGGTCAAAAAAGGGTCAAAAGATTATGAAGTACAAAGAATGCCAGAGAGGTGCAGACTTGGTCAAAATAGAAAATCAAATAAAGTAAAAAGAGTCAATCATACCGCCGTATCCACAAGGCCTTCTCGCCCTCCCATTGTGTGGAAGAAAAACTCTGTAGCCGTTAAACCGCTATAGAAGGAATTCGCAACAAATCCTTTAGCCTACATTGAAAAATCAAATAAATTGCACCAAGTAGCAAGTAGGAGATCCATAATCGATATTTAACTTATCAATCTTTTTTTCTTTCCCTTATCATACTGATGGAGTACCCGTGCTCATTGATTTTTTCATTTACGTGAAATTTTTTGTTTACGTTTTTTTGCTGATCAAAAACAAATGCATCAACCAGCCTGCAAGTTCATCTATTAGAACAAATTTCAGGAAAGAACTAATATAAAGCATACATTGACTCTACTCTGAACTTCAACCAAGTGCATCAACGATTTAGATTTACGAAAAGATAAAATCTAAGAAGCAATAAAAGGATAACCACAAGAGAAAAGCTAAACATACAGCAGGAGTCTTTGACTTTCTGGGAAAATGAGGAAGGCTTCGTTCTATAAATCCATTTGGAGCACGACGACCTCCAACAGATTGTTGACCAACACATGCAATCATCTGGCTGATATTGATAGGAGATCCTTTTGAACCGCATTGCGACATAATCAGGGGGCTATTCCTCCAATGGAGTTCTTCCATACAAACCTAACCCAACATTTTTAAAAGCAAATCACCAGGCTGTGAGATTCATAAACTAAAAGAACACTTGATATCTTACACTAAGATACAAGAGGCCTCACTCACAAAAAGAGGCCCAAAAATATGCAATACACATAATGATATATACAACGCTCACAGGTAAGCATTCAACACATATCAAAAATGCTATAGCTAGGTATGAAGCACGGACACTCTCAAGAAGGTGACGTATCCGTGTCGGACACCGACACTCTTCGAATACTCTCGGACACATGTCCGATATTCTTTTATCCGTGTCCATAATTAAATGATAAAATTTTAATTTTACACACGCATCCGACACTTTGGTGACGTGTTGACACTTCTTTAGAACTTGTCTACTATTAAACAATAAACATGTGTTGAAATGTGATGAACAAAGCTTAAAATTTTGAGAACATATAATTACCAACACTAGACATATTAAAATTGTATTCCAAATATAATAATAAAATAAAAGATGCATAAAAGTTTTAAAAAAGAATAATTGAGAAAATGAGAGCAATTGTTTAAATTATATATTAAGTACACATTGTCTATAAAAAAAATTGATGATTATTGACTATTAAGAGGATGTTTTAGTCTAAAAATTTACATAAATGATTACACATAAGATTTACTTATCATAAAACACTGAATCTTTTATAAATTATATATCATTATCACTATATTTACAATAAATTATATTAATGTTATATATAAAATATAATTTTTTGTAGCGTGTCCCCAACGTGTCCATATCCAATTTTTTTGAGAAATGTCGTTTCAACGTGTCCGTGTCGTATCCGTGTCCGTGTCCGTGCTTCTTAGCCAGGTATACAATGGATCCTCACCTTTGCAGTTCTCTCTCGAATATTATTTAAAACATTGGTTATCTCAGCTTCCAGTGTCTGAACCGCATCACAACCAGGTTGCAGTGAGAGCTTTCCTTCATTATATTCGTGTATTAGCTTATCACAATCTCCATAGCCACCCAAGATTGTAGCTCTTTTATTGTCACTCAGACGATCCCCAGGTTGGACATCGTCAATTCCAATTGAGAATCCATGATTCCCTATCCACCGAGCACTGGCAAATGAAACCGTCAAACTTACTGTTATGTAATACTGCCATCAACTGAATAAATATGTTCCGCACAAATTTCACATGCACACATAGTGATCATATCAATCGATGAGAATTAGATGCCACAAAGATCATGAACTACAAAATATTTCAAAGTTGCCAACCAATTCAAAAAAGTATACAAATTCCATACTAGTTGATAAATTAACATTTCGCAACAATTAAACCTTTTGGGTAAAGGGCTGTTCAACCAAGCAAGGCACACAACTAAATTTTTAACATTATGAGCCTGACCTAAAGAGATAAAGATCATGCAAATCCGGACGAAGCCTGACACAGCCTGTGAGATGAACTGAACTGTAGCCCATGTATACTCCAATAAACTTACAACTTGGGGTTTCACAATATCAAACCTTCTTCACCATTCATCTCTGTCTAGTCCATCATCCCTGTTCAATCATCAGCAACAATGTTTTTTAACTACTTTAATCCATGCACTGCCTTTGACTTTCCCCATCATTTAGATGCCTATGACATCAACCTGAAAATCTCAAAATGGGCCATTTACAAGTCTCTTTAAAGTTATTTTGAAGTTGTTCTACATTCTGCCTAAATTCCCTAAGAATATATAATTTGCAAGAACTTAAACTGTTATAACTGAATATACTTCCCTAGTAAGAATAACATGCCATACCTTTTTATACACTCATATATATAGACAACATATACGTGCACAAAATAGAAAATAGAAACGCACCCGCCCCCAAGGGGCGGATGTGGTGTGCTTTTTGGTTGCAGGGATGAGGAAGAAGTGACACCCAAAGCACTGGCTCGCAAGATTAACAAGATCTAAAATTGGGTAAACAATATATGCCCCTGAAACTTTGTTATTAAATTAAACTAGCTCCCTGAACTTCAGTTTTCCAAATATTTACCCCTAAACCCTTAATAATTTGCAAGAATTCAAACTGTTATAACTGAAGAAACGTGCCCGCCCCAGGGGATGTGGTTTGCTTTTTGGTTGCAGGTATGAGGGAGAAGTGACACCCAAAGCACTGGCTCACAAGATTAACAAGATCTAAAATTGGGTAAACAATATATGCCCCCAAAACTTTGTCATTAGATTATACTAGCTCCCTGCACTTCAGTTTTCCAGAAATTTACCCTGAACCCTTAAAATCCCAATAATATATTAAAGCAGATGGACAAACAAGGCAGTTGTTTAAATTTGCATCCTCAACTTCTAATTTTATGGATTTTCTATGTTGTTTTAATGGGGAGTTGGACAGACGAGGTTACTTGCTACGATTTTGCAGAGTTTAAGGGTAAAACTAAAAGAAAAAGGCTCAAGGAACAAATTGCAACTAATCTTGTAGTTTAGGGGCATTTATGACGTTTGTCTTTAAAGGTATGGATTTTCTTGTGCATGCCTTATAGTCATAAAGTCTCTAATAATTAACCTTCTTCAACCCCCCCCCCCCCATAAAAGAGCAGAAAATGGTTTTCAAAAAACCACATACTAGGGACTATGAATAGCCCACAGGGGTATTCAAGAAAACACATATTCAGCGAAAAGATAATAAACATATCCATTACAACTGCTTGCACATACATGATGCATATCAGCATTAAAGAGAAACTCCAGATCAACAGACTCCACACATAAGGTCAGAGGTGATCACAATCCAAAGAACGTGCTAGAGAAGTACCTCAATTTCGCTAAACGGTTCATACAAGCAGCGGCTGCATAAGCATTGTAGTCCCTCAGAAGAACAGAGTAAAGACCATCCTTATTGCCATTCCCTGTTGTGACCTCAGGAAAACAAGTTGATATTTATTATGAGTCAAGACTCAAGAGCCAACAGAACCAATTAAGAAAAAAAAGCACCAACAGAGGAAAAAACCTTTGTCATATTCCTAAGGCACCACTCAAGGATTCTCTTCATTCCTACCGAAACATTTCCGTTTCCTTGGAAACCGTGATTTAATATAAAAATTCATTTGTTTCAAGATGTTTTGGCCAATTGTTTTGGAAACAAATTTTCAAAATTTTCTGTTCCCATTTTGTGCTTGAAACATTTCCGAAAAGTGTTTGTTTCCGACCAAACTGAAACTACGCACCAAAACGAATTTTGACCCTTGGTGCATTTAGGATAATTAGTCTCGCTTAGATAATCAAAAAGGGGACAGTTCAGTAGCTAAGGCCAGTAACAGCATTATACACACGAATAACTATATGTACTATCTTTATAGTTGTAAACTAAACAAAACAAAACAAAAACAATTGAAGGACTAAATGCCTAGCCACTATTCTATGGTCACTCTGTACCCAATCCGAGTCAATAGTTGAAATCAATCAGTATTATCCATATCAACAAAAACAAAAGAAAGAGACTAGGAAAGAAAGAACACAGGGAGCACAACAGTCAAGCTCAGGATGTTATTAAGGCGCTTGGCAAACAGCAGCCCAAAAACACCAAGGAGAATTAATCTGGTAAAGTGTATAGGTATAGAGAGAGAGAATATTTTGTAGAAGCAATCCAAACAATCATAAGAATTTTGACTGACAAAACATAAATGAATTCTTGCAGATGTATAACAACAGAAAGGAGACTAACCTAAAGTAGCCTTCCCAAGTTGGCCACTTACTAGTTCACTATTACGGAAATAAACAAACCCATCATTTGCACACATTGTCTCTCCTGACTTGCTGTAATTCTTCTCTGTGATAGTTAGATTCACATAGACTTTCATATGCGCATGTGGGCGTAACAGTATACTAAACAATTGTTTACCGGTCCAAAGCTCAATTGGCTGCAAAACAATAGTTACATTCAAATCAAACAAGAAGTTATGCGCAAGAAGAATTATGGGAACAAATTCAGTATTTAAAGGTCACATGACAGCATACATAAATAAGTTTTCATGCACTGGTAGATACAATAAAGGAAGATCAAAAATTAGTTTTTGCACAACATGACAAACTAGAATAGTATGGAACTCTTGTTGTACAAGACCATAAAAATGGTTTACAGATGCCCATAACAAAACCGCAAAGAAAATGTGTATCAAACTTTTGATAACACAAAGCAATTTCAGTAAATCTATACAAGGGTTCCTAAAACCTTCACACAAATCGAACCAGACTAAGACTAAAAATCAAACTGGAATTCGGGTCCAGATTACATCTTGTCCTACTAATCAATGATTAAGATTTTGTTTCGGTGAGTAGTTTCGGTCAGCTGAAAAACGAAAATGTTTTGGAAACCTCTCAGAAACGGGATGGAAACAAGGATAGAAAAATTCCGAAACATCGATCGAAACACATCAAAACAAAACATAACACCTATGTAATTTTGATATACAATCACTCTCCGCTGATTTGTTTACCAGGAAACAAAATGAAACTTAGATCTTTGCAACCGAGTACCGTACCAGGACTTGCTAAAGCAAATCAACCTTGTTTTGCAGTTGTTGGACCATTGACCACAAAAATTAACTTTAATGAGAGTGAATCACAAAAAGCATGTCCCTTATTTGTGTCCAAGTAACATATTTTCAGCTTCATTGTGTCAAAAAGTAAAAGGACAATTTCAAATTAACAACAGCAGACTGTATAAAGATACACCAGGCACAACAAAAGATTAACTACTAGAACCAGCAGACATCAAAAGGAGCCAATGTGGACCAACTAATGCAAGTTCCAATTTAGAAAATTTTTACTAGCACAAGAGAGGCCTACCGCCTACCACTTCAATAAAAAACATAAAGTGGTCCCAAAGATAAATTACTTCATTGGTGACAAAGCTTAGCTTCACACTGAAAGGTATTGCCAAGTGTTTATCCCATTATTTGAGGAGATCAGAGTTTGAGCCGGGATACAAAACTAAACTTTCGTGTTATTTGCAACTGTTGAGAATTGAGATGGCTTACTTTCGATTACAGTTACTCTAGGCCACATAATCTTGCACACATTCTGAGATGCCACTATGACTAACTAGATGAAAAATTATTAGCAGAGACAAATATAAATACATGTGGTGGCAAACTTTGCCAGTGAAGACGTTGTAATGGAGAAAGAATATGAATGACCAACCAATTTCCCGTGGTCAGATCACCTAATTGGAAAGTTGATCATTCACTTACTCGCCCACAGAAAACAGTGCCTGCGTTTGTGCATGATGGGGAGAAACAGATGAAAAAGGTAGGAGACAGCCCATGTTACTAAACAAGTGAATACTGACATTACATTGTCATAATTATTATATCTGACCTTAATTAAAGCTGGCGTAGGCAAATCAATAGGATCCATTCCGTCCCCCATATAAGAACACATGAGTGAAAAAGTAGCACGATCATAGAATGTGTCCTTCCTTGTTATGAGAAAGGAAGACGTTAGAAAATCCTGTGTGGAAGCAACCAAAATCTCTCCATTTTTTGGTGTGCATAAATTGTTTTGCACCTGCAAAAAATCAGAGAGGCAGTTCAAAACCGAACAATATGCAACTAAGAAAAGAAGGTAAAAACAGTATTAAAAATAGCTGCTTTCAATAAATGATTACAGTAAGAGACATAGAAATTGAATAATAAACAGAACGCAAACATAGGCAGGACTTCTTATATTTCCTTTGAGACTCTAGTTGTTAGAACAATGGGTCTCTGAGGGAGCATTTTCGAGTATTCAGAAGAGAACCTATCCAGGTTGTGAACCAAAACGAAATTACACCAAAACAGATTAGCACTCACCGCAGAAAAAAAAAACAGAAAAAATACTCATAATAGGTTGCTAATCCTTTTGAGACCACTAGAACAACACAAGTGGATGCAACCAATCCAAAGATGAATTCAAGAACCAGTTTCTACATTTAAAACAAGATTCATATTCATATATTGACTAGGAGATAACTACCAACTACTATTACATTACCATAATCTGATTTTACTACCCTCACTGAAACGATGCAGTTCATACACTACCCATCACAATGGCAACTAATTTCATGACTGTAAGGCATTAATGGCAAAAGGGCTACCTGGTCTTAAATTGGAAAGAATCTTGAGAGAACTCACAAGTGAGCCAAGAATATTATCATGTCAAGGTAGGACTAACATGCAAAGGACAAAGGAAGGGCTTGCTGTTTTACAAGAAAAACAAATGACAAGTTTAGTCTAAAAGTAGCCGGCACGGCCCCCGCCCCCGAGCCCAAAACATATACGCATACGCACTACCAAAAAACAATCCTTATATTAAGTTATAGGGACATAGATCAGATAGCACATCCTGTGAGTCGGAACCTTATATGGAAGTGGATCACTGCAATATTCCCAACAAGAATGAGAACACAGCTGAACATGGACATGGTACTATGGTACCCACATTCCTATATCACAACTATATTCAGAGATGAGAAAATTTACCCCCATCAACATAAGAGCCTCTGTTCGAGCCTCTTCCGTTTGTGGCACATGCAAATTCATTTCATCACCATCAAAATCGGCATTGTATGGATTGCAAACCGATTCATTAAATCTCAATGTACGCCAAGGCATTATCCTCGCCTGCATGCACAAAATAAAAAAATCTAATATAATATCAATATAAGATCACCCTTTCATACATTTCCATTTGAACAATTGTAATCACCCTATGGCACATGATTGACATTCGATGCAAACTTGGTTGTCTGTTAAAAAGAACTATGTCACCGTCTTCCAAATGACGATCAACTATGTAACCAAATTTCAATTCATCAGCATAACGCTTTCTGGAAGCAAACATTAATGCTCTGCAGCATAACAAGTGACCTATATTAATGCAAAGCATACACAAATGTGGAAAATAATGACAAATAAAAATCCTTACATTGAGGTACCATCAGACTTTCTGAGAAATCTTGCACCGGGGTATTTATTAGCCCCATTACGGACACACTGCCTCAATTTCTCTATATTATGATGGGAGACGTGCTCAGGATAAGTTAAAAGTCGAGCCATTAAGATAGGAATTGCTACCTGGACTTGATAAACACATTAAACAAAACAAATAAGCACCCAAAAATGAACTGAAAAAATAATTTTCCTAACATCAGTAACACCAGACCTCGGTGATCTTCAGATTAGGATCGGGGGATATGACGGTCCTGCCAGTATATTCAACACGCTTCCCAGACAAATTTCCACGGAAACGTCCCTGCTTTCCTTTGAGGCGTTGAACAAAACCACTCAATGGCTTGGCAGCTTGCATATGTAAAGGCACTCCACGTACATCACTGTTTATATACTGTGCAACCTCAATTTGCAGATCAGCCCAACCATCCTAAACCAACATTTAAACATAACATCAGTTAATCATACGTGTTGGACTGCAAATATGCCTATACTTCCACAAAAACCTCTATGAAGTAGCCATTTTTGTCTTGGAAACCAATACTTCTCAGAAAATATGCATCCTTACAAATCTTGGATGTGCCTGTAATGCAACAGTAATCTTCATACTATGAAGAAATGGTTGTCGCATCTTGGACATAACTAGCAAGCCTTAGAGGTGAAGATAAAAACTCTTTTTAGTACAAAAAAAAACAGTTACGTAAATAATTTACAATATTTCTACCAATACCTACTTATTTTAACACAAATTTACAATGTTTCATTGCATCTCCTATCCAAAGGATACCAACTAGGTAGGATATCTTGACTTCAGACACCTTTGATTGCTTATACATGTTTGCTCGATATTATGGATATAGGAACACTGGACGCAATTTACGGGAAAAGAATAAAACACAGGATTAACCCAAAGATTGACATAGGCATGGAATGCAATACATATGTATCAGTGTTATTGTCAAATAAATATACTCACAATTATTTTGATGACCACTAATTTCCTTCTACTTTATCTACTTTCATAAAATGTTTATGCATCTCAATTACTAGTATATTTATTACCCCTTTTGCATTGGTGAGGTTTAGTCTCCACACTGGTCACTCAGGAATTTGCTTCGTTTACCTCTCAAATCTATGCCATGCTCTATGTTCCTAGGGAAAACCTAGACATGACATATTCAAGAAATTACGCGAGTCAAATCAATATGACTATAGATACTTACAACATTGATTATGCATGGAAACATTTAGAGGAAGTCAAAACAGGTGAAACAGATTTTCTGAAGGGAACACCAATGCTAACTATACCATACCAAACTCTTTGCAGCAAAACTTGTTTCCGATAACTCCTGATGAAGACTAGCATTTGCTTGGATAATGCGCTTTAACCTCTCTGTAGTGTCGTTCTCATTACTATATCAAGTAATGAAGAAATATGTGAGTACAACAAAATTACTACAATCTAGAGGAGATTAATGCAACCAGAGAACATAGCCACTCGACAACCTGAGAATAGAACCAATATTACCACGCTTGAGTAAGTTTTTTAATTTTTATTTTTGTGATAAGAAACGATAATATTATTGATCATAAAATAAAAATGTAAATAGAACAATATCAGTCAAAGGTGGACAAGTTGTCCAAACCAATAATGAAAAAGAAACAACGAAAAATCAAAACTGCATTCCGGATAAAGCTGTCCTACTCAATGCGATGTTATAAAGGGGAACATATTCAAACTACTTGCATTCGGCCATCAATCAACAGCCTATGTTCTGCTCAATTCTGGATAGATTACATAATTCACCCAAACAAACTCAACAATAATGCACTTTTAACAGGCATAGTTCACGTCACATCATATGTTCCCTAAGGTAGGTGAAAAAAAAAAAGCACTCAAAGAAGTACAAGTTTGCTCATAATGAGTGTCAGATGTGGTAGAATTAACCAAGGCAAAAAAGATAAAAAAAAATAATAATCTTGATACTTGATAGCGAGTTATATAAGATGATGGCCTGGCCCATGTGAAAACTTCTCATACTCCCGGCGGGGGAGGGGGGAGAGTAGTAAAGAAAAGAGAGACAGAGAAAGGCAAAGAAGTAGAAGTAATTTAAACCTTTCTATTACATGCAATGCAATCTCCTAGAACCAGAAAAAACCAAGCTCCATATGTTAACTCCACAAAAAAATGAGGATGCATTGTTTAGCCCTGCGTTATGAATTTGGAAACCCAACTGTCTTAGTTCAATTCTTGCATGGTCATCCAACCAGAACTAAATGACAGGCATCTACCGAAAAAAAAACATATGTGATACAAAATAATAAAAATCACAGTGGTGCATCTGAAATTCAAGAAGAAGAAAAATTTAACTATAGAAGAAAATTTTAACTAAAGAAGAACAAGATGCAATTAAACTTCTGCATGAGATGACCTTTGTGCTCCACCATCCACAAAGACAGAAGGACGAATAGCTATCGGTGGCACTGCAATGTTTGTTACAATGAGTTTCTCCGGTCTATCACTAAGATAAAGCAATTCACAATCCTGCAGCACAACAAAATGAAGAAAGTACCAGGCAATAAGAATAGCAAAGGATTCCAAGTTATCCTGACATCTGTATATTCTTTTCTTCAAATTGAAAAAATTACAGACTGCAGGAAACATCCTAGAAGTCAGCAATCAAACATGCAAACAGCCATCAGGTAGTACCTCATCCAACATCTCCCTGAAAAGGGAAAGAGCTATGACAGGGTTTAGTATAGGAAACACATTAACATGTGCCTTGGACTCCTTCTTGTGCGAAAGAGCTGAATTGCATTCTTCTAAACTACTGTCAACAACTTTGGTACGGTCATGAATGATTCCCAAAATACCAACGGCCCTTTTCACCATACCTGTATTGCATGTGATGGAAACAAAAGTTTTTATTTATAAGTATCTCAAATGGAAACTTAAAACAAAGAAAATTTTAGCTAAATCACGGTTTCCTGCATATGTCACACAAGAAATATATGCAGCAAATGCTTCATTTATTCTGATCATTTAAGCTACAAAACTCTATTGACGTGTTTAAATAAATAGCATCAATTTCTTTGAAGGGACAAAAAGGAAAGATGCCATCAGCAGGGACCAAGATATCAAAAGAAATGGATGTAGGAAGAGAGAGAGAGAACACAAAGTCAAAAGAGAGATAAGACCATAGCAGTCTTTTTTATTTCAATAATTACATAAATATTCTACAGCTATCATGTCTGAAAGCTAATAAAACCCTATTCTAAAATTTATATTAATTGGGAGGTTATTCACTACTCGCTAGTTTTTAATGAACAAATGGTCCAAAAAAAAATATGAAGTTCCTCTAACAAAATGTCTTAAAAGATGCTCAAATTTTATTTGATGGAACTCAAGTTGGTGGCTCAAATTTTGAATCCTAAACTCTTTTTTTCTAATAAGAAACTTTTCACTGAAATGCGTCAAAACAGGGGCACAACCACAACCAATGTAGAAAAGACATATATTAAAGAAGCTCCAAGAAATTATCTGTAGCCAAGCTCGTATCAACAAATAACCCCAAAAAAAATACCTTAGACCTAGGAACAGCTCAATAAGACTAAAGAAAACAACACTCAATAAAACACAACGAAACTCAAACATAGGGAGATCCACAATACCAAAGAACTCATACATTCCTCTCACTCCAAATAGTGCACATAAGGAAGAGAGAAGCCACATTCCATCAGCCTCGAAGTTTTTTCCTAACACAATACACTCTCCAACTACATAAACAAGGCCTCAAGCTGCTCAATCCCATACATACCAAACAGCATACGCCACATTTCCCGAGTAACCTCGTAGGAGAAAGTAAATGATCAAAAGTCCCAGACTTTTTACAAATACAGCAACTATTGATAATGCACTTAAGGCTCCATCTAATATGAATAGCTCCCTATGCAACTGTCCACACGAAGAAAGCGATTTCCAAGAAAGCCTTCATATTCCAAAATCACATTTAAAGAGCCAAATCAATAACACTCAAACATATATTAACTTATCTGAAACATTAGAGTGACCATCAGCAAATATTATCCACAAATAATCCAGTAACAATGTCAAAGAAAACCCAAAGTTCAACATATTCTCTTCAGTAAGAATACACATAGCAAAGTCAAACCTAAATAGGCAGGATAATTTTTGAGATCTAGACTCTCCTGCAGTGATGGATGTCACTTTGCAACAATTCAGCCACTTGACAAAAGATTTGTAACTCAAAGAAAGGGGAAAAGGTGTTAATTCTCTAATTAATCCAGGAAACAACCAAACCAAGCACCCACCTTTCTGGAAGACCAATGAGCAATGACCATAAAATGCCACTTATTGGGATACCACAGTGCACAGATTTTGCCCATCGCACAGGTGGCCCAACTGACTCCAGACAAAATCTCAATCATAGAAATTAAAGTTGTCTTACAATTACATGCATTGCATCACAAGGTATACTCAGGGAAGGTTGAGGTTTAGGGATTTGAACAAGGATTATACTGGTTATACATCATAAAAAAAGTAGTGCGTTTACTCTCAAAATTTAAGCAAACAAGTTATGGAATTTTATAAAGAAATCATCCCTCAGACAAAGCCCAAACAGGTATCATTTATAAGCTATCCACATGGTTTAATAAATATCGATTCTGATCGTACAGAAACAAGGGTGAATTGAGATATACTACGATTCATTACAATAATGGAGGCAAATAATGCTCACACCATAGACTTTTGACAATGAGTTATCCCCTCTCAAAATTATTGAATTAGTCATAATGGATTTGTTTGTAAAGTAAATTTTGTTCATATTACCGTTTATTACTCCAAATTTAAGGGACTCTATTCATAAATAAAGAAGAAGAAACTGAACATGACCAAATACCCTATGGTAGATAAGGCTGATGTTCAGCTCAAGGTCAACCTACAGGCATCAAAACTGATAACCACCTCAAATGAACTACTAAAGTCCCTCTTAAATAAACAAAGATTAGAAAAACCCATGACCAAAATTAAACCAAAGGAATAGTGTAACGGTGTCAAAAAAAATCCCCTAGACACTTTTGAAGTAACTAGTCATGCAAGAACAAAAGTGTGTGAATGTGATCAAGGTTCACGATAACTTCATAGTTCATAAGGTAGTTGATTGTGCAATGGGGGAAAAATAAGGGGCAGATGTGATAATTTAGTTTAAAGAGCATTGAGAATGGTTTTGCAATTTACATCAACAACCCCCCACAGTAATGGGATATCATAACTTACTAGATCTCTTAGGCATGGGTCTCAAGCAGGGTCCAAGTCATTTACTCAATTTGGAAAATATTACCTTGTCATCCAACACATATTGGTGTTCATAATATTGAGGGAAATGTGCCGTAGAAAATATGGATTTGAGCCATAACTTTGCCGGGAATTGCAGATTCCTAAATACAACCAGATTGATCCTAGCTTCAGCCTTGATGCAAGTGCTCATCAGGTCCCTTATTTTTTAGCAATCTTTCCCTTAATGCTACATGACACGTGCTTACTCTAACACTACAATCAAAAAGATTGGCATCTGCAGATTCACTTTAAATTGAATCGTGAATGTAAAGACAAAAAATTGGGCATGCCTCACAACTGGATATAATTTTTTAAAGCTTTAATCGTGAATGTAAAGACAAAAAATTGGGCATGCCTCACAACTGGATATAATTTTTTAAAGCTTTATTAATCTAGAAAATATTTAAGATATGACAACTAGTTATAACATGAGAAGAGCGCATTGAGAATATATAGCAATGGATTCTATGAAAATTTAGATAAGACATAAGAAGCCCACAGAGAACTAAAAATAATGGATTTGAATCCCGGGGAAAAATAGATACCACCAAGGAAAAGACAGCTGACAAACAAAAAGTAAAACGCATATAGGCATGAAAAATAAACTCGATGATCACATGAGAAACAACCTTCCATTCTATTTCTTATCATGACAAAACCATAATATCATGAACATAGACAGAGGTAAAAAAGACAAACCATTTATATATCCACATCTGGAACACTTCACTGCCTTCTTACTACTTGCCATGGCAGTGCACCTTTTAACGATCCTTTTTGCAAGCTCACTCTTCTTCAAAGGCTCAACTCTGGCACTCCTGATCTTCTTTAAAAAGTCAACACGTTCTTTCTCATCCAGCAATACACGGGAACAAGACTGTTAAAAAGGGTATAAAGAAACTAAGGCATAGAGTATAAAATCTGGGCTGACAATCAAAATTATTGTATTGATAGTGTCATTTACATACCACCCAATATCCCTGGTAGGATCAAGTAATGGGTAAAAAAAGTAGAGGAAGTGAGAGGAGGGAGCAAAGCAACCGAAGAGCAACCTTAAAAACTGGTACGATTCGAGGTCAGAACCACGTGAGCCTCTCAAAACAACAATTATCTTGAAGCTTATTTACTGTTTTGTAAGCTATTATGACATTACAGTAATAGTACATCAATAATTCCTAAACTATTGGTCCACTGATCAACCCAAAAAAAATTGGCATCTTAACCAACGGGTTTCCCATTATGGCATTTCTCGCTATTAATTGTGATCTGGGTCATTATGCCCTAGATGAAAGAGACCCCCCCGCCCGTTGGCCTTTCAATTTCCCTATCCATGGGATTCCTTGTCACGTTATTTTATCTCTCTCAAAGCATGTGAGCTTCCTGTCACTAGACAACAGCTCCAAAGCAATGGGAAACAATTTCAATGTGATTCGGCGACAGAAATTAGCAAATTATGAAATGGAGGTAGATATTATACTTAGGTAGGTAACTTTTTATTGATTAATATATACTTTCACATTAAAAAATCCTAGAAAGAAATGTAGTAAGTGATATCACAGTATCCTATCCAGTTAAATTACATGTTTCACTACACGGATAGAACACAAACTATATGTTTAGCAAAGCATAATATATGCAGAAGATGCAACACATTTATAATTTGAGCATGTTGTATTCATAACCCCATCAACATTTTATCTGAAATTTGGGTAATATTTGAGTACATAGACGAATCATAATTTGGCATTCGTCCTGTAAAAGTTTATATGTACAGGAACAAAAGATAGTGCAAGATTCTACAATCCAACCTAAACTACAGACTAAATATGTGTGGGTGTGGGTGTGGGGGTGTGTGTTTCTTTTGGTTTTTTCCCACACCATTGATCCCATTTTTTAAGTAGTTTTCTATTTAGTGATTGTTTTGTATTTTTGTTTTTTCCTTGCCCTCCTCCAACCTTAATAGCGTGTAGAAGAGTATCCATATGCACATATGTAAATGTATTAGTTACATAAAGATAAACAAATATCACTTGCAAAATATCAATCAAACATGTTTTTGCTTTTTAACCTAAATGACTTTTTTCCCTTCAAGAAAAGTTCCTCAAAAAGGTTTTACTTTCGAAGTAGGCAATGTGTACCCAGAAATCTAGAACAAGAAAGACCCACTACCTTGCAAATGCACTTTAAAACATCCACGATAGTGTTTAAATATCCAACATTATAAACTGGTAGAGCAAGGGTCAAGTATCCATAGTGCCCTGGGCAATCCCCAAAACTCCCATGGCATGTTTCACAAACACCATGTTTATTTGCAGGACCCTGAAACACAAGAAGAAACTACCTTTGAGACACAAAGAAATAAATAAAGACACACAGTAAACATTGATGTCTTTCATTAGGTAAATATAGCATATGAGAAAAGTCAGTGACGGAGACTAGCAAGAATAAGGCAAGCCGCAAAGGACATATGTTATGTACTAAAACTCGCACTCATTTATTTCAAAATAAGCTGACTATCACCATATCAACTCGATTTTAAGATTGCACTATCTTACTAACCGAAAATTCTTTACTTTACCGAGAACCACACCTATTAGCAGAGTCTAAAACAATATAACCGATTCTAATGGCGCATACTCCCATACAAATACACGAACATATGATAGTAAGAGATAGATAGAGAGAGAGAGAGAGAGAGAGAGAAGAGAGATGTACCATGCGCTGGTCCAACAAGCCGCCTTCAATAGGTTTTCTACTGGAGTCATAGTAAACACCACGATAAATTTGAACCTCGGCGTTGTTCCTAATATCGGATTCAGAAAACATAGAAAAACGAATGCTATCTCTGTACAAACAACAGAGATAATCAAAATCAATTGTGATTTGTGAGTCAATGAAACAGAAATAAAATTCACACAAAATAAAGAAATATATGAAAAGACAGATAAAGATTTCGGTACTGACATTCTACGAGGGCCGACATCTTCAATGTAAGGTTCTTTAGTGAACTGGATCGTGTCTTGAGCTCTCATCTTCGATCGACTCTCTGACTGAAGAACTGTAATTCAATGAAGAAGGCTAGGTTTTGAGGCGGGACAGAACGGGCGGGTATTTTTTTTAGAACAGAGAGAAAGAATATATATAGACCGTTGGATATCGTTAGAGAGAAGGAAACCCTACTTTATTTATAATAAAATAAAAGAGGCAGCGTCATAAATATCCATGGCGGTCTATAGGTGCAGTTGATCTGAAAGTTTTTTGGATTTCGCGTGATCGAATCCTCGCCTTGCGGTTTGGTAATATGAGTTAGAATTACTTTTTGATGGTAATTATGTATCTTAATAAATATTAAAGATTTAATCTCAATTTGACCTTATGCTTGGCTCAGACACACTAAGATTTATTAATTTATTAAAATATATTAATTAATTTAAATTTTTTTATAAGTCTAAAATACTAAATCTCTCCAAATCTATATAATTAATGGTAAAATGGAACCATGGTGGTTCAAAATTTCCTAAAAAAGAGAGAAAAAAGTATTTTTTAATCAAGAGCTATTTGGGAATATTTTTTGATTGTACACAGTCTCTAATCAAGGTTGTTTGACAATAAGAGTATAATTTTTTTAAGACGAAAACTTATTCAAATTCTAGAGTTAAAATAAGAGGATATCAATTGAAATTGAGAGAGGGGGAATAAAGTGAAAATTACGTAGTTTGTTAGGCTAAGTCCTAAAATTTGTTATATATTATGTATTTGTGTGCAATTCAAATATTTGGTTGAACTTTCAATATAATACAATTTAAATCTCAAAAGATACACAAAATAGTTTTTGTTATTCGCGGTTAAAATCTCTTTAAATTTTACTTTAAACTTAATCCGACGACTAATATTAACACTCCAAATTTAATATGAAAAATAGGAGGGTCTAAGGATGTGTTTTGAGTGATTTTTTAAAAGTGCTTTTAATACTTATAATTTATCATAAGTAATTTTTTAAAAAAATAGTGTTTTGAACCACCACCACCCTCATCACCACTACCACCACCACCACCACTATCACTGTTATATCTACTGTTGTCACCCCACCACCATCTCTACCACAACCACCACCACCGTTGTAGTCATCACCATTGTCACCACCCCCACCCTACGCACTGCCTCACCACCACCATCACCCTCCCCACCATCCCCTATCACCACCACCTCTGCTACCACCATACCACTCCCCCACCATTACCAACCCACCCACCGTCTCTGCCACAACAATCATCGTCATTGCCCTTTACCATCGCCACTGTCACCACTACCACTCTCGTCAACCCCCATCATCATCGTCATTATCCTACCACCATTGCCCCTATCACCCCACCACTACCCCCCACGGTCCATCACCACTACCACCACACACCATTGTCGCCACCCCACCACCGCCACTATCGCCCACCATCATTACCATCGTTCATTCTCACTATAAATTGATGCTTAAATTTTTTTATTTTTTATTTATATTTTTAATTTGATTTAAAATGTGAATACAAATATATTTATTGTTGACTATTTTTTTATTAATTTGTGCCTTCAGACACAAACAATAACTAATACTTAAATAACCATGCTAATGTGAAAATTCGATATATGTTTTGATTGCATTTTGGTTAATCACACAATTCGATTATAATCTAAATTAAAAAATTTATACTCAATATTTACTTATTTTATTGAATTAATGTAGTCCGTAAATGTGGGATCATTATAAATGACATTAGTTACTTCAAAAAATTATAAATACTATTTTTTAAAATAGACTTTCCTATTTTTGGTGCTGAATCAAGTCTGAAATTGTCTAAACTTAAGCCTCTGTAGCTTAATATCGATTTGTTTATACCCAAACTATTTGTCGTGGTCAGTGGACGGAGCTGGGCTGACATCGATAAACTTATTATTCTTCTATTTTTTTAATTATTCTTGACTTTGAGAGTGAATCCACATATAATCCAATTACATTTTTTAACCTTATAAGGAACACAAAATCTAGTTTTGAAACTTATCAAAAGAAAAAAAATAAAGTTTCGAAACAACCACTTAATTAGAAAATTGAAAAAATTTGAACTATTAACTCCCAGCATTAAAATAACTAATTGATTAAAACTACGAAATTATTTTTTCATGGATGAATTTAATTTATTATTAAAGTTGGGCATACAGAGTGTATTGTACTGCTTGAACTGGGTCCAAACCCAAAATAATAGGTGGACATGGCAAGGCATCTTCTAGGTGACTGACCAGTCCACTAACAAAGTGCAAATTTTAATGCAAGTCTTGGGCCGTTTGGTAAGTGGGATTGGGGTTTTGCCGTTTTGAAAGATGAGTTGGGGAAATATAATCTAAATTATACACAAAACTCAAATTTGGACAAAAATTTGAAGTGTGAGGTACTAAGAGCAGCCCATAATTGCCCCCCCGACCTTAAACCTTAGATCATGGGTTTCATAAAATCCACAAGGGTTTGGTTCGATTTTGTATGAGGGTTAACGAATTTAAGATATAAAAAAATAATTATACCTCATATATATATAAATATGAGTTTGAATTAGATTAGTGAATGAGCAAAATAGTTATTTACGTATAAATATATTATTATAATAGTGATGCATTTGTAGGGATTTGTATCCTTTCTATTACCCATTCCCTTCAATTTCTCCTAATACAGTGTTAGATGAGTGATACATGTAAGATTTTGAATTTCAATGAATAAGATGTTTCCTCATTCATTTTTGTTATTGACAAGTGTTAACCATTATTAAAGAATTTTCTCACAAAAAAAAAATCCATTAAAATTTAAAATCTTACACGTATCACTCTTCTAGCATTAGCACTGTATTAAGGAAAATTGAAAAGAAAGGGTAATAGAGGAAATCTAAATCCCATTTATAGACATACCAAACATGGATATAAAATATATTTAATGTTGGATCCCATCTTTATGTTTGAGTTTGAAAAGATCTCCCAAATCCAAACACCTCCTCAACATCGTTCAAACAAGCCTAATAACTTGTTTGGTATGAGTGAAAGTAGGATGAATAGAAAATGGTGAATGGGAAGTTGGATAAAAAATGTAATTATTCATTGTTTAGTTAGAAAGGAAAGAAAAATTGGAGGGTAAAGCAATCAATTTTGTCCACCATTTTTTACCCCACCATTTTTGGGCGGAGAATGGCAGCAATGTTTGAAAAGTTGGTCAAGATGGGTGCCACAACTTTTATATAATGACTAATTATCGTTTAATCTAAAGAACTCATCTGTTAATAAATTATTCATATTTTTAATATTTCACTAATAATAATATTCTATTATTTTTTTATAATAAATAAAATAATAAAAAATTTATTCCTGTAACGAAAAATCCATCTTTCGTATTTTTCCATCCCTCCAATGTTCTATCTCTCATTCCAAATGGGCCATCATTCCTTCTAAATGGACCATATGTCTTACATATAAGGTTGTAATTTGGGTTGGACAATCCGATTTTAACCCAAGTTCAACCCGAAAAAATTAGAGTTTAGACAAGAGTTTTTAATACATGGGTTAGATTTGGGTCAAAAAACTCAAGTCCGAATTCAATTTGAGTTGGGCTCGGATTAAGGCCTCGTGAACCCGAATTCGGTAAATTAAAAAAAAATATTTATATATATATAAAACATTAGCACTGGTTTTTCATTTTTGTTCTATCGTTTTCATTGCCTCTCTCGTTAAAAACTTGATTAAAATTATTAATTGTTAATTTAGATGAATATTATGTAATATATGTATTAGATTTAGAACAACAAGTTTTTTTGAATTCTACCCAAATTAAACCCGTAAAATAATTTGAAATCAGTCCGAAATTATCAATCCGAATTCAACATGAGTCCGCCCGAATTAAACTCAGACAGTGCTTGGGTTAAATTTCTTAACCCGACGTAGGATTATGATTAAGATTAAAATTAAAATTAACATTAAAGATTATATATCTAAAATTAAGCTAGCGTCGATTGTCCGATCCGTCCGCCTACTACGCCAGTTACAAAGAGCTTTTCCAACAAAAACTTCGAAACCTTTACCATTACCAATAAATCAGACGCAATTACATAAAAGCGGCCATGAATTCGAAAACCCAACCCCCTCTTAAACCCTAAACTAACGAGTTTCATGTAGAATTATGATGAAGACTGTTTCGGGGGAAGTGGTATATACAAAGCCAACGTCTCTCTCTAAAGCAGCCAAAATTCTGATCAATTTCGTCTCCTTCGACAATGGAGTTCCGTATAACGTATCTGCATATCTCAGTCGCGCTCTGGTTTCATTCAATGAGTTGGTCCAGTTCCACAAAGAGCTCAAAGCTAAGCCATCCGATCGCAAGCACAAGAAGCATCGGGTTAGCAATTTAAATGATGTAAACCCAATAAAGATTAGTAAAAACTCATGGGTAGCTGAACAAGAGAGGGTCGAAGATGCGGAGGATTGGTGGAAACACAAGAATTACAGAAAGCCAAGAAAGATTGAGCAGAACCCAGACGAAGTTGAAGCAGATGGAGTCATAGATGTAGAAGACAGTGTCAAGCACAAGAAATATGAAAATCCAGTAATGTTCCAGAAATACCCAGATGAAGCTGAAGAAGAAAGGGTAAAAATGTGGATAAACGCCTGATTAATATCGAGCAATATTCATATGAATTTGAAGATGGTAGAGTTGGAGATGTGGAAGACGGTATCAGGAAGAGAGGTGAGAAAAAGAAGAAGAGGAAGAAGAAGCGTGAAGATATGGAGAGAGAATGTGGGGGTAGTTTTGGAGCAGAGGAGGCCAATAGTAAGGATAAGAGGAAGAGAAAGAGCAATAGTGAAGAGGTTGATGACGGGGAGATTGTTGATTTTGTGAAGCAGAGTTACGTCAATGAAAAAGAAGAAGAGAAAAATTGGAGATGAGTAGCGGCATTGGATGCTTTTGTATTGTTGTCTCTATTGTTATTTTGTAGGTGATTGATGGAGATTTTGTTTTCGAGTAACTGAGGGGTTGGTGATCTTTTGGAAATTTGGTGGTCGTAATAGTTTTCATGTAATGCCAAGGAAAATGTGTTCTTTTTTTAATTTCTTTACTAGGTTTAAATGTCATGCTTTCTATTTGATAAGAGCAGAATGTTTATCAACAAGCACACTTTACTTGTGTTGACCAAAGCAGAAGTTGCAATTACCTGCTTAACTGTCTGATTGGATTTCCATTATGTTCAATTTGTTACCATTGAGGCATTGTAATCATTCTTCTTGTGATTTTGTCTCTGAAGAAACAGCAGAAAAATAAGATGGTGTAATGTTCTAATGCTGATGACCACAAAAATCTTGTAGTTTGATCCTCTAACATTCTGCTTTGTTAGAGTTCCGATCTCTCAGATGGTAGTTTTTATTCATGCAGCTTATGTTTGTTGGTGATATTACATAAAGTGGAAAAAATGTGATCATCATCCACCCTGTAACTTTGATTAAATAAAAGGAAAAAGAAAAACTGTGGATTGCGTGAACACCCATCAACCGTCTATCTCAAGCTTTACATGTATTACTTGCGATCATTATGCCCTTATTGCAGGATTGCGCGAACACACATCATTAGCTTATCTCAAGCTTTACATGTACTCTTTGCTATCATTATGTCCTTATAACGTGCCCATTATTCTATAGCTTGCCTTTAGAATAATTTGGCTACGTGAGCTGGAATTATCAGTGGACCAACTTTTATCTTGGTGCTTATAAGTAGGTTTGTTTGCTACTTTCATGGTGCAGATACTTGATGCGGCAGGATCACTTCACCAGGTGGAAGTCTTGGACTAATTAACAAGAGTAATCAGTATCAAAAATTTTACAAATGGTTTTGGAGAGATGTTTACTTTTGCACTCACGAGGCAGAGCTTTCAGGTATCCTTTCAAGGCTATGTGCATCTGGTATATATAAAGATGCTCAGCCCATTAATTTACCACAAGAAAGTTATTCTTTCCAATTATTTTAAGGTTTTGCTTTGGTAGTCCTTCTCAAACCATTAGGAGACCTCCATACACGTGCTATGTTTGTGTTCCTATATTTCTCTATGATATGAAATTTGATTGCTCTTGCTGGTTGATCTGGAGATCACTCAGAATTGCCCATGTTCTGCCTGGCTTGCCAATTAATTTGGAGCCATATTGGACTGCCTGTAAAATGCTTAAGAATGTTCATTAAATCCTGCCGTTTGTTCTTTTGCTTAGTTATTTGATAAAAGTAAATAATTTAAAGTTCATCTGTATTATTATTCTTTTACTTAATTTCTAATGTTGATGACTCTCTCGAGTTATGAAATTTGATCTATATGCAGCAACATAGTTCAGGAAGTTGAAATGGTAAAGATGTTTTCCTTTTTAGAGAATAAATGATGCATCAATGTCATGAATGTAACCTCCTGAGTCTTCAGATAACCTGTGTTTGGCCTTGGAGAAACTTTGTCATTATTATAATCGTGGTCCTCTTGTACCAGTCAACAAACCTGTTTTCCAAGCTAGAGGCCAGGTTTATACTATATTGCATAGCTCTGTATCACCTACATTGAACTGGCCAAGGGATTTGATATTACCATTATTTTGACCTCCTATCTATTACCGGATTTCCACAATTACTTTAGCTATTTACGCTAAATGCAATCTTTAGGCACTATAGCATCAGTGCATCCTCTTTTTCTTGCCTTCTGCATCATAGGCTCCACAACTGCCTTGCACCTTCGCCAGTTGGTAGTGCCTTCACCGTTGTGTCAAGAAGCATCATGTCAACAATCACTTTGGTAAATTATTAATTGTGTTGGCTGCAAATGTTTCTTCCATGAATTTTAGAGGTCAATACATTTTTTTCTTTTTGATGTACAAGAATAAAACGAGAAACAAAATGAATAAAATATCAGTCTATGCTGGCCAAAAGGGCTTGGGATTGCTTCTCATAACGAAAGTTGGCCTCCTTGGAATCATCTGCAGACCAAATAAAGATACCATGAAGTTTACCCTGATCTTTAAGCATACTGCAGGCCTTTAAAAACCCATTTTTAGGAGATAAGCCACCGCTTCCATCCGTGCCAAAGCTCACCAATATTTTACCTCCTTTATAATTGGAACTTTGAGTTTCAAAATACCCCATAAACTGAGAAATAGTTGTTCCCTTCTTGTAGGCATAAAATTGGAAGTTTACATAATCTATAAGGTGTCCATACTTCCTCCAGAGAGCCAAGTAATGTGGCTGGACAGAATCATCTTCATAGGGTGCTATTGATGTAAATGACACAATCTTGTTTTGTATAAGGTAGTATAAAAGCCTTCCAATGCACTCTGCAAATGTATCCGGATCTGCTTTGAAATGTTCATAGTCGATATCTATTCCATCCAAATTATACTCCCTTACTATCTGGGTAATTGAATCAATAGCATTTCTAACCCATGAATTAATTGATGTAGGGTTGAAGAAGACGAAGTGATTACCGTTAACAGTATCACCTCCAAGACTCATAGCAATCTTCACATGCGGATTTTGGGCTTGGATGGAAGAAACATGAGAAGGATTGAGGTTTACCGTGTCCCAAAACACGTTGAAGTTACCATTGGTGGATTTAGGAGTAGACGAATTGGTGTAGTCAATGGCAAAGGAGAGAATGAAGTGAAAATGAACTTGGGGATAAATGGGTACATCTGAAAAGCTAACATTATTGCCTTCAGCACCGATGTATTCCCTAAAGAGCTTTGTGTTTGCAGAGGCTGCCTGTATTACTGAAGAAGTGATGAAGATAACCTGAAGAATTAGAAGTGAGAGTTGGAGCTTTGATGAACTCATTGTTGGAAGTTGCATGCAGATTTTATTTTGCGACTCATTTATATACAGTGAATTGGCTTAAATGATTAGATGTTAACAAGGTATTTGTTTTATGCTTGTGACTTGTTTTATTTTAAGCCTTTGTCATCTTCATTACATCTTTTTGTGTATCTAAAATCTATAATATAATATAAAATATGACAGATTTTAATAAATCCATTTGACAGTCTCAAATATGTTCAGCCACTAATATCCCCTTTAAAATCATTCATATTGAATTCTCCCCTTAAATTCATCACTTATGTTGCATCGTGCCTTTAGACACGAATTACTCCTAGTATAATATAATATACGATGCATTTATATCCTCTGATTATCATATATCTAAGGAAGGAAAGTTGTAGTTATTCTTGTTTTATTTTAAGTACTCATTTGATTTGGCATTTTTTGGGAGACGATACCATAAGCCGACTGAGGTTGTTTGCAGTTTTCATAGTAGTAGATTGTACGTTAAACACGACATAAATTGAGGCTCTCTCTGAAGCTAGAACTACATCCATATCACTCCTAAGCCCATCCAATTTAGCACCTGCTCATGAAATTTTCTCATCTTATCAGTCTAGTCCTTTGTACCAGAAGAAAAAAGAGTGGGCAAGGAGGGGATACTGAGCAATCAAAGGGATGCATGGGAAGAGGTGGTCCCTACCATATAGAACCAAGAATGCCAAAAGAGACATACAATATGTGTTCACGATGGAACCTTGTCAGTTTCCCAAGGCGGATTTACATTAGGGGCAGCTACTCTCATTAGAATTTTAAAAACATTGGGGGAATAAGGTGAAATTTTAAAATTTATTAAAAATTGTCCCCACTAGAATTTTAAAAATATTTGGGGAGTATGGTGAAATGTTTGAAATTTTAGAATATGTTAGAAATTGTCCCATTGAAAATATTTTAAACTCAAGACTAGTCATGTATTTTCTTAAACATGTGGGATTTTTTAGTCTTTAACAATAACAAAAATACTTTTACTTTTAAGAGATCGTAATGATTCCAAGAGCTTCACATCTACAATTTCGGAATTGATCTCCCTGATCACACACATATTTGTTTGTTATTTTTGTATGTTAAATTAATATAGATAATTTCAAGTTGTTAAATTTAATGAGATTGTTATATTTAGAATTTACATGTTTTGGACTATTCATTGGATTAAACCATTTGGTTTGATAGGCTTGAGGAATCTGATTGTGAGATATTTGGTTGTTTGTGTGTCTAACTTTGATTTACAAGATTGTTTGACTTCCTAAACTATATTGATTGATTGAGATTAAATAATAAATTATTTTTGATAAATACTTCTCAGCAAAGAAAATAGTAAAAAGTTGTGCGATCAATGGAGGAATGATTATTTGGCTGCACATGTCGAGAAAGAATTTTCAAATACCATTTGCGAAAAACAATTATGACAATTTTCAAGAATTTAGATTTTTCTATGTATGAATCAATTCATTATTGGGCTCTATTTTTTTTGATAGAAAAGCATTTGTTTGGTATAATTTTATAGTGAATTTTTTTACCGACTCTTTTTTTATATTGCTTGTATATGTTATTTTGATGAAATTATACTTTTGTAAAATAATTTTAACTCTCCGAATTTGAGTATTCGTTGTCCCACTAGAGTTAGAGTTTGGCTCCGCCCCTGTCAGTTTTGGCTATTAGTTTGACCAACTACAAGTTTCAACCTTTGTCACACATTAACTTCAGATTGGAATGCTGTATTTACACGTTAACGTTTCCGAAGTAACAAAAAAAGCTACGAAGACATCTAGACGGCAAGGCCGGTCAAGCATCAACTTGCACGTTAAGCTCCATGTGTGGGGCAGTGTCTTATTCACTTATATTTATTGGTATTTTGAGGAAGACATTGTTGTTTCCTTCGTTAGACATGAACATCGAATCTATGTGTGCTGGGACGGCACCCTCTTATTTTTCAAACAATTCTTTTGTTTTGCTACAAATAATGTTATAGAATTGGGTCAAAAATGGTCAATTTATTCAGTAAAGTTCAACGGAATCGAGCTTAAAATTTAGTAGATTGACTTATCCCAGTTAGATTCCTTAGAAGATATCCAATCATGTCTTAAATTTAAATTTACATCTGAGTAAAAAACTTAATTTGATACAAAGAACTCCAATTGATAAACTAAAATTTAAAGAAAAAGAAATTTAAATTTAAATGAGGGTAAATCTAAATTTAAAAGAGAGTAAAGATGACTATTAAATCTTTAAAAAGGGATGAAATCTCACCATTAAATATTTGGATAAGAATTTAAGTCTCTCTTAATTTAAGTAAAAAAAATGAGTCTATCTTAATTTGATACAAATTTAAGTCAAAGTTTAGAGCAAGTTTTTTGAATTTTTTTTACTTAAATTTAAATTTGAGTATAAATTTAAGTCAGACTTAAAAATACTTCTAGATAATGAATCTATTTGGAGCTGATTTTTTTAGGTAAAAAGTTGTGGTTTGAAAAACTTAGCAAAAAAGTCTCCTAAAAGCCAAAACCGTTTGTAGTATTTTTTAAAAAATTGAAAAAGTCTGTTTGGAGTGATTTATTTTTAATTTTTTTTTGTGTTAAAATAAAAAAATAATTATATGTATGTATAGAATATGTATAATAGTTTACAAAATATAAATTTTAATTTTTTTATGTCACTAATAATATTTTATAAATATAATAAATTAAAAAGTTATATAAGACACACGACAAAACTCTAAAAAATCAGAAAAAATCTCATAAAATTAATATCTTGAATCAACTTAGATAAGTCTTTGTAGATCTAAAAAATGATGCATACGTTGGTAAAAAAGTCAAGATTCAAACATATATGACTTATTTTACTCAAAAACCTTTAAAAACTACCTCTTTGATCTACTCTAAAGCGGGCCAATATCGACTTGCTATGAGCCAAGTCTCGGGATTTTTCAACTAGTCTCAAATGGCTCCAAATTATGATACTTTTTGGTACCTTATTTTTATTCAATAAAAATATAAAACACGCATAAAATCATTATATTATTGTTACAATCAAGGATTAGAAATTTGTCAAATGAAGATCTATAAGCCTTAATCGATTTCAATATCATACCTAATTTTTTTTGGATGTATGGTGAAATTATCCCTCAAATAGAGCAATTGGTTTGATAAATGATGCATGTTCTTTCATAAAACATATAAAAATTAACTTCAACTTATAGTCATCAATGTCTGTTATCTCGTATGTATTCGCTTAATTTTTTTGTTAAAATCTAATAAGTTTCGCTTAGTCTGATACACCCACTAAGAATAGTTACTAAATAAGGTTGGTCATATGTTGATAAAGAAATCGGGTTGCTCACTTGCTCTAGCACTTCAACCCAAGCGTAGTCATTCCATGAATAACAAATGTTCTCTTTATCAAGAACCTTGAACGTAATCCTTTAAATTTTGGCAATTGTAATCTTTTTAGAAGTAGAACAAAGTTAGTTTTCTCTTCTAATATCTACACATAATCCAGCCACATTTTTGAAGGTTACGGGAGATATGAAATTGAAAATTGAAAATAAGCAGTTGATTAGATTTTTTTTTTTTTTGAAAAGTTTAAATTATAAACTACCGGCATTAAAATAATTTATTTACTAGAGCAATTCCAAGGGGCTCTTTAAAAATCCCTTCTTAGCTATTTTTTAAAATTTGTCTCCCAACAGACTAGCTATCCCATTAATTATTTTTCATAACCCCCATTTCACCAGCTATTTTTGGCAACCCCAAAAACTCAGTATTTGGTTTTTGTGCCAATTTTTTCACTCCACAATACCCCTAATTTCGTCATTTGTCTTTGCTCATCGTCTTCATCAACCACACAAAGGCTTCTTCATCCACTCAAGGTATGGAGTCCTCTCTCTCTATGGAGTCCTCCCATCTCTCTCTCTCTATACCACAAAAATTCTACTGAAACCCCATCTCTCTCTTGACTCCCATTGAAAACCCCACAAAAAATTTATCGAAAAATCCACAAAAAAATCCCACTAAAACCCCACCAAAAACCCTTCTCTCTCTCTTGACTTCCACTGAAAATTGACTGAAACTCCTCCCATCTCTCTCTCTGTCTCCGCTCTGTTCAGATTGGGTGGAGATAAGAAATTAGTAGTGGATGCAACTACTGAACTGCATTTGATCAAATCGAGTTCAGTATTAAAAATCGATTGAAACCCCACCCATTTTGATATTGGGATTTGTGAAATATATACTGTAGTTCTAAGAAATTTGTGAATTATTGTTGAATTTGTGAATTTTATATTGTGGTTGTAATTTGAAATTTTTGATTTAAGAATTTGTGAAAATTTTGATTAAGGAATTTGTAAAATATATATTGTGGTTCTAAAATATTTTGTTAATGATTCTTGACATCACGAATCTAGAAAGTTTGGCAATGACGTTGCATGCTATATAGTATTTTAGATTTTAATTATTAATAATTAGTTAAAATTAGTTGAAATAGTTAATTAAAATAAAAAGCATTGTTAGAGTGAATTAGTAAAAACTATTCTTTAAAATAAATAACGTAATAAAAAAATATATTTTGATTAACTATTTTAGCTAGTATTCTTAGAATTGCTCTAAAAATTATAATGTTTAATTATTTATCTAATATTATAGTTAGTAAGTTAAATTTTCAACTTATAAAACCATAGTAACGCTTATGAGTGATTTTACCTTCTGAAAAAAACTTTTAAGAGTGATTTAATTTTTATTTACTTTGATTTATTGATACAAAATTCATCCTAATTTTTTTTTTCGATCAGATCTAAAAATAAGCATTTGATTAGCAAAAAAGTTGAACAAAATAATATTATCAACTTCCATTAAAATAATTCAGCTTTGTACTAAAATTGGGCACAACCCGAATGCTAGGTAAACCCAGACCGGACCCGACCACAAACAAAAAAAGGGTTTTGGCCCCTTCCACGTAATTAAAAAATAATCGCTCTTCTTTATAAACCCCCACCAAAACCCTAGAAATCATGCAACAAGAACCTTGAAACCTTGTATCGATGAATAGAAATTATAGAATCGAACCCAAATTGCACTAAAATCACCACAGAATTCTGATGTCTTACTGCCTCCAAAACCCTGGAGCCATCCAATTTCATGCAAAAGGAAAGTTGTATCAACAAAGTCCCACCTCTCTCTCTCTCTCTCCCCAAACCCTTTCATGTTCTTTTTCTGTGCTATCATCAGGTCCTTTTAGCCTGCCTACTATGTGCTTTAACTTGCCTTTATCACTGTATTAGTTTTGCTATGTGGGCTGGAATTACCTGGGGAATCGACTTTCTTCTTGTTGCTTGTGATAATGGTTTGCCATTTTCTGTGGTACAGATACTTAATGCAATCGGATATATAATTCATCCAGGTGGAAGTCTAGGACTGTTTACCAAGAGTGAAAAGTTTTACAAAAGGGTTTTTTGAGTGATGGCACCCACGGTTTGCCATTTCAAGGCTGTATGCAGTTTTTTTTGCTGGTTGAAAATGGGAGAAAAGTAGAGCCCCCGAGACGGGATCATGAGGCTGGTTGAAAAAGGATGGGAAAAAGGAGAACACCTAGAGACTAGATTATGAGGTATCTGATCGCACCCGTTATTCCTACCTACGCTAATGGTCAACACCGAGCCCTATGGACTCTAAGCGTTGACTCTCCAACCTAAAGTTCGACTGGTAGCTTACCAGACCACCCCACTTGGTGACTTGTTTGCAGTTGGCACATAGAAAAATGGTCAGCGTATTCACTTAGCACAAGAAAGTTGCTCTTTCAAATTACTTCTGCAAATTTGCTGTGATAATCCTTCTAAAACCATCTTCTAAAACTCATTCACAGCTGTGTCTCTTAGTGTTCGTATGTTTGTGAAGTGAAAATTGATGGGTATTGCTGGTTAATCCAGAGGGTACTCAGAATTGCTTGTGTTCTGATTGGCTTGACAACCAATTTGGGACCATACATGACTGTATGTAAATGCTTAAGAATGTTCATTGTACTATTGTTTTTCATTTACTTAATTTTTAACCTCTCTAACTCTCTTACGAGTTATTAATTGTATCATAGTGTAGCAACATGGTGTATGCAGTCACAATGGCAAACGTGTTATAGCCTGTGATAACTTCTTTTACAAAATAAATGATGCATAGAATGTCATGAATTAGAAAGAGTTGACTCGCGAGTCTGAGAGTCGTGTGAACACTTTTTTAAAGCAGTTAAGCCCTTTGCATGAAGGTACTGATAGACATCAGCGATTGTAAAATCAAATTCAAATGCTAGCAACAATATCTCTTCAATGGTCACCCTGTTAGAAAGAAGGGGTGAACTTAACTAGAATCAAAGTTATCCAAAAACACAAATAATATACAAGTAGATATAATGGACAAAAATATGATAGAAGAAAATGTCTTTTTCTTCCTCAGAGTAAAATTAGAAGTAAGGATAGATCCATCTTCAAACTACACAGCTTTCTTATATAGAACTTCGGAAAACTTAGGATTAATGGGTTTTAAAGTTCTAACAACTAGTACTAGTCCAAGTCATAAAACACATTGTAATAACTCATTAAATAGGTATAAAAAGCCATTAAACACATTATCAATCATCCTACTAAAAGTCTAAAACACAACAAATATAAACTGAAAATTAAATAAAATAAAACAGAAAATTAATAATAAAATCAATCACAAGTTTTAAAACTTCTCATTTTATTCTTACAGCTTTACCATTACAGTTCTGGTCCTCTGGTATTGGCCAGCAATCCTATCCAACACACAGCCCAGACTAACACCAGATTGCCTTGTGCTGAACTTAAACTGGCACCTTCATTGGGCTGGGGATCATGGGAATTGCATTACCACCATTTTCACCTCCACTAGTTGTGTTGGCCAAAAGGGCTTGTGATTGCTTCTCATAACGAAAATCGGCCACCTTGGAATCATCTGCAGACCAAATAAAGATACCTTGAAGTTTATCATCATCTTTAAGCATACTGCATGCCTCAAAAAACCCATTTTCAGGAGATAAGCCGCCGCTTCCATCAGTGCCAAAGCTCACTAGAATTGTACTTCCATTATAATTGGAACTTTGAGTCTCAAAATACCCCAAAAACTGGGATATAGTTGTTCCATTGTCATAGGCATAAAATTGGAAGTTGACATAATCTATGAGGTGACCATATTTCCTCCAGAGAGCCAAATAATGTGGTTGGATAGAATCATCTTCATACGGTGCAATTGATGTGAAAGACACAATCCCATTCTGTTTAAGATTGTATAAAAGCTGTCCAATGCACTCTGCAAATGTATCAGGATCTGCATTGAAGTGTTCATAATCGATATCTATTCCGTCCAAGTTATACTCTCTTACTATATTTGTAATTGAATCTATAGCATTTGTAACCCAGGAATCAATTGTTGTGGCATTGAAGAAGACATAGTGATGACCGTCAACAGAATCCCCTGCAAGACTCATAGCTACCTTAACATTTGGGTTTTCGGCTTTGATGGAAGAAACTCGAGAAGGGTTGAGGTTTTCGGAGTCCCAAAAGACATTGAAGAAACCATTGGTGGGTTCAGGAGGTGAAGAATTTGTGTAGTCAATGGCAAAGGAGAGAATGAAGTGGAAATCGACTTCAGGATCAACGGGTACATCTGAAAAGGTAACATTCTTGCCTTCAGCTCCTATGTATTCTCTGAAGAGCTTTGAGTTAGCTGAGGCTGCCTGTGCTAGTGAAGAAGTGATGAAGAGAACCTGAAGAACTAGGACAGAGACTTGGAGCTTTGATGAAGCCATTAAGCTGCATGGAGATTTTGTTTTGGGGGGGCATTTATATAAATTGAATTGGCTTAAATTATTAAATGTACCAACATTTATCAGTTGTGGTCAATGGAAGTTCAATATGTAATTCTTGCAAGTAAGAATTCTGTAAATAAAAAACTGGTATACAAGACGGCCGGGGCGTAGATTATTAAGAGAATGACCGATTTACACACTGTGCACTCAACTCATGAGGCTCCCCAAGTAAACAACTTCACCAGAAGATATCCAGACGGCAAGGCCGGTCATGGATATCAACTTCTTGGTAGGCAATAAAATTTTGGGTACTACAAGTTTAGTCTTACATACACCAGTGCATATGTCTATAGATTTTTTTTTTTTAATGGTGGGTGGTTAGAGGCGACCAAATATAGCAACTCCCTCGTGACGTTATCTTGAGATTTTTACCCGCTGTATAGTGTTTTGAGCTATAGCTATTGACTTGAGCTGGTCGAACTCGTCACCACGGCACCACCGAAAGCATGCTGGACGTTCAACCCCTTCAACAATATGTGGTTTACGGGGACTACAATAGTGATACCACGTTATAATGCTGATGTGGTATCACCAATCAATAATATCAAAATAAATAAATAAATGAACCCCACTAAAAATAATAATCAACCTTCTATGTAAGTAAATAACTATCATATTATCCTCCATGTAAGTAAATAATTATTCAAATTGAATTCACCTTATCCATTTGGTGTTTTATTATTGATTATACTATGTTAGCAATACTGACTTGATATTACCGTTACATTCAATATTTACTCCATTGGAGGAGGGTGAGACTTTTATCCTCTACTGAATATTATAAATTGGTTCCAATGTGGTCCTCGAATTTTAAATTTCGTTAAAATTTGATGCACATGCCACCCAGATGTGTTGCCATTGGACAAAAATATAAACTCACAATTCATATTCTTGGGTGAATGTGCATCAATTTTTAACAAAATTTGAAAAGAATATTAATCTGAAGCCCACATTAAAACAAATTTATGACATTCAGGATGCAAAGTGATCAAAATAATCTTTTGGGGTACAAAATACAAAAATTCCTAAAAATTACAAACACAAGCGAGTTCGAATTAATGACCATCGGAGGAGGACGAGACTTTCCTCCTACTGAAAGCTCGTATTATTTATATAATAAGATCCGTATAGACCACTTTTGTAAAATAGTAATAACTGCTACACGGCCTCATCCTTAAAAATTGTTCCTGTTTCTTTCACCCTCCAATCAAACTTTTTTAATATAATATTTACATTAATACACAACTTCTGCCGGCTAGAAGTGGTGGGAAATCTGCTTCTTCATAATGCCAAATGTTGCTTAGATCAAATTTTTAGGCTTATATGCTCAATATTATCCTTCACCCTGATCGTAAAACCAAAAAAAAACAAACATTATCCTTTAGTGCTGCCAAATAATAAGCCATTTGAAAGGTAACCAAACTGACTGTCATAAGCTGTCTCTGTTAGATTTATCCACAAGAAAAGATTCAGTCTCTGTTACTCTCTTTTTTTTTTTTCTTCCAAACTTAAGAAATGATACTTCAACATGATTATGGTATGCAATATTTCTAGCCAATCATAGCTAACAATGTCCATGCATATGATTGTTTCTCCCTCTTGAAATTGATCGTCTTGGAATGATCCATATGTGCCCTGTAAAATCCCATTAATCGGTGCCTCTGTTTTTCCTCCGCTGGCTAGTGGCTGAGAAAAGAGCGTAAATTCCTGCAAATAAATTTTCTTTTGTGAACCCATGTATGTGTTTGTGTGTGTGGTTGAGTGGTGTTTGGTTATGAACGGGATAGGGACATGTGTTTTCCAAAATGAAAGGACTTACCCAATATTATTACGATGGTCACATCTCTAAAGTTTCCATAGAGAACTTCACTTCAAATCAGACAACTGTTCAAAAGAGCTACACTAGCAAATTAGGTAACTTCATCTTTCTTAAACTTTTAATGTTACTTGTTGGAATCTGGCTTTAGCAATCAAATCAAGAAGACAAAAAGATTAGTGCACAAGCCAAAAATAAGGTTCTTTACCCATAATTAACAGCAATTATGTCTAATAAACAAAGATGGTATGAGTAAAAGCCAAGAAACCTTTTCAAAACAGGAATTAGATTCTGGGGTTAGCAAAAACGGAAAAAAAGAAAGAAGGGTTAATAGCACTTTTGGTCGTCAAAATATGCATTTTTTTATCAATTTAGTCTTCATTGTATCAATTTTGTCAATTAACTCCTTAAAATATTTAATTCATGTTATTTTGATCTCTATATAGACGGACTGTTAAGTTTTTGATGGAATGATTACATGTTAGACACGTGATACCGTATAAAAAAATAGCATGGGACACTTTTATCAAAAAATTTAACGGATTGAATACTTTATTGACCAAATTGACAATATTAATACAATGAAGACTAAACTGACAAAAAATATATACTTTAGAAACTAAAAATACTATAAACTTAAAAAAGAAAAAAGACAATAAAGAATTGCGAAAAAGCCTCAGAATATTTGCTTTTGAGTCATTGAAGACAAGAATGAGTGATGAGAAGAAGTCTATAAATTACAGGGAGAAGATCTGATAATCATCACTTGAAGGACTTGTTTCCTAGGGTTTGAGTTTGAGAGATGAAAAAGATGAGGAAGTACAAAGACTCTTCAATCTTTGCTTTGTTTGTTTTCTTTTTCGTTTTTGGTTCAGGAACTAGCACAACGGCAACAGGTAAAAATCTCCTGCCAAAAGAGAAGGTAATCAATTAATTGCTTATTGTTCCATCTAGCCACTTCGGTAAAAACAATTGTAGGAGGAATGTGTGCATGCTCATACCATGTATTTAAGGCAAAACTCACTAATGGAGGCCGGGCAGACTGTAATTTCATTCTAGTGAGATTAATCCTCTGTTTTCACCTGCCTAACCATAGGTTGTGTTGAGCTTTTTTAAGCTTACATGCACCATGGTTAGAATTGAAAACTATACCAATAGTAGCTCGTCATCAGGAATCAATGATTTTTTTTAATACCTGAAGGTTGTGGTAGTCTATGTAGAGTTTGTTACCAGAGTGTATTTGGTAAAATAAGGATTATTTCATTTACCCGTTTGTATAATTTAAATTGACTAATCGAACAAATATTCTGCGTTGCTATATTTCTTACCGTCGTCAAATGGCATCTTAAGAAATCGTACAAAGATTTGTTGAGATTTAAACTCCCTTTTTTTCCCCATCCTTTATTTTCGTTTCTTGTAATTTTTTTTTGGATTTGGTCATTGCAGGAAAATTGCACCTACCTAGTAACAATAGAAACAACTTGTACAAGGGGTGCTGATACTTCAAACCATGTGAGCATAAGGTTTGGTGATTCAAAATCGAATGACATTTTGGTGCACCATCTCAATTCCAAGCACCTAAGAAGGGTGGATCCATTGGAGCCAGAGGTTCTCGACGACGTGCCTCGGAAACCATTTCAAGCTTGCATGGTAGACCAATTCCAAGTTAAGGGACAATGCGTAGACTCGGCCATTTGCTACCTCTACCTCAAATTGAGTGGAAGTGACGACTGGCGTCCTGGATATGCACAGGTTCGGATGTTTGAGGGATCTCATTTCAGCTCTGAATATTTCTATTTTCGCAGGTATTTGCCTCGCCATGTCTGGCATGGTACAGACTTATGTGATACAGAGGTCACTCCTTTTGGAATCAAGTACAAGAGGAAGGTCTTTGGGAAGAAGGCTCCTCTTGATCAACCATTGATGCCCTAGACACACAATCTTAGGCATGGTGTGTATTATAGTTTAATGTTGACTATGTTGTAAAGATTACTGTATTATTTGATTGGGATGATCTTTAAGAAAAATGAGGTGGAGACTTGATAAATGCCTTAATTGCCAAAGGAACTCAAATAAAAAAAAATCTACAATAAAGCTCTTGGGTTATTCAATTATTTTTACAATAAGTTCTATAGACACCTTCATTAAATATAATTAGAGACACACTACTTAAATTTTCTAAAATATCGCAACCCTAACTATTCTTCCTGAAAAATGTTGTTCTTCATTGAAAAATCAAGTTAGAAGATCTCCCTGTCCAAAAGAAGGGAAACCCACTTATACAAACGAGCTTAATTTCATATTCTAATTTTAGACCCTTATTGACGGGATAAGACCATGATACCCAAAAGTATATTTCTCTTTCATACCGAGAGGTGATATGAAGGAATGCAAAAATAAGTCCTAAGCTAATCTATGGGAATTTGTACGTACACACAAGAATGCAAATGAGGTAACACACGAACTAGCAAGATGAGGGCTTGCTATGGGCTATTTTGGTTCACTACAAGTGGAGTTGGATACCCCCCCTCCCCCCAACCCACCACAATAGACTAGATTAGGATTTATTTTTGCTTACTGTCTTTTAATTTATCATATTTTCTCTCTTGAATCTAAATTTCAAATATCAAAAAAAAGAAACCCTAAATCATTAATTCACTGGCTTGCAACTATTGATCATGAAAATAATAAAGTAAATTAAAATCATGAAATAATTTTTTTTTAACACGTCATATTCTCATTGATGAAAAATAAGTTATAAAAAAATAAATTTTCACCCCTGTTTACAGAACAATCTTGGCTTTAGGCCCTTTGGAGTTATCCATTGGTGGCCTCCTGCCAAAAGAGAAGGAAAATCTACTTCTATTCACTGGGAAAAAAATGTTTCAGAATCTAAAAGCAATCCTTACATGCACAGGAACGGAATAGTTTAGAACCTTTTTATGACTTTAATTACTATGAAATCTGACAGTTCAGGATTTGTATGTGACTAAGGACAGTAGAGTAATGAAAAACCCAAATACAAGTTATCATAGTTTGAGGGTTGATCTATGTTTATCTCAATTTGATTCACAATGTTTCAATTGTATTTTTTTAATCTCTGAAATATTAAATATGTTTCTATTTGTTAACAATTTTTGATCATAAACTTGTCACGTAATACGTAAATATTGACAAAAAATAATTTTGATAGCTCTTAAACAAAATTTGGGTAACTCTTGACAAAAAATGTGCAATATGAATAACTTTTGATCAAAATTGGGATAGTTCATGATTAAAACTATGTAATTTGGGTATTTATTTAACCAAAATTTGAGTAAAAATTTAGTCAAGAGTTATCTAAATTATTATTTTTTTCATATTTAAGTATCACGTGACAAGTTTATGATAAAAAATTGTTAACAATCTAAGCGCTATTTGCTTGAGGGACCATATTGAAATTCAATACTTCAGAGAATAAAATGATACAATTGAAATATCATGAATCAAAATGAGATAAACTATATACTTTTGGAACCTTTTGTATAATTAACCATATAGTTTAATTAACTAATATAGATGAATCGTAAATTCAAACGTCCCAAATTCGAATCTTAACAATTCCTAAGGGCCAAGTTATGAGTAATTTAAATTTTATGAATACTTTCGTCCTGACATAGATAACTTATTTTTATTATTATTTTTCGTTTAACGGTCAAAAATGTTTAAATCAATTTATGCACACCTTAACTAATAGCGAAGAACAATATTTTAGTACCGAACAATAATATTTCGTATCCAATAATAATATTTCATTACCGTAACCCAATCCTAAATATACAAAGGGAAAAAACAAATCCCTATGGTTATAACTCGTAAATCTTCCAACGTGTGGTACACTACCTTTCCAAGCAGAACTGAATAGTGTAACCTTGATGTGTCACATCATAATTAGTTTGTGAGGTTGTGTCGGACTGACCTTTCCAAGAAAACAAAGAACTGAAAAAATATTTGGTAGATGGTACACCATAATGCCAATAATAAAGGGTCTGTAAAAAATTGTATCATAATTTTTTAAAATTATAATTTTTATGATCGATTATAAAATTTTAAACTTGATCATATCTTTTATTTTAGTTTAATGGTCATGAATATTCAGATTAACTTATGTGTACCTTGATTAATCTTTTTTTTAATCTGGTCAAAAACAACCCGTCCACGTAGGGATTAAAATATTCATTAGAGATAAATCCTCCATAACCAGACCTTAAGGGGTTGCCAAAATTTAAATTTAAGATATTTGAGTTTACAGTTCATATTTGTTACCACTTAAGGTACCATTGAGATTACCGTACCTCTTTACAAGTTATAATTTACACTTGAAAAAATTATAATTTTTAATTCAATACTGGTAATGATGGTACTACTAAAGTCATTCCTTTTTGTTTGTGTGTGTGTGTGTGTGTGTGTGTGTGTGTGTGTGTGTGTGTGTGTGTGTGGAGGTACCTTAGCATTATGCAAACCTTTATTATTGCAGCCCCTTTCTATCTGAGCATGTGAAACTGAAAACAAACCCCACAACTGTTGGACTACGTGTTTATTTCAGTAGTTAAAATCAGAATTGACCAACGTACATAGCACCGTCTCTTACTTACCACCACTTCCTCTTTTGGGTCAGATTTCCCCCACTTGAATAACGTTGACAAACTGCAAAACTTCTGAACTGTAATTCAAATACGAAGATCAGAGGCTGGCATCTCTAGTTCCTATGTTCAAATCTCGCAAGAAATACTTGGGATTAGTCTGTTTGATTAACAAGTGCTTAGTCGAGTTTATATTATAATCGCAAAGTCAAAAAAATGAGAGCGTATTGAAAAAATTGACATCTTACAAATACAAAGGTCCCGTTGGCAGAGCTATAAAAAGGTTCACTTTATATTTAACGAAAATGAGCATAAATTTCTTAATTTTTAATCCCGATAAATTGAATTGAAGAAGATATTAATCTAAATCTACGTAAATTGACCCAAATATACATGACTATTGAAAAAAAAAAAATTACCCTACCAAAGCAATGCAATAACCTTATAAAAAAAATAAAAAATAAGAAAAAAGTGCTGACATTGTTGAGAAAGGAAGGGGTGTGAAGTTATGGGGGTTATTGAAGGCAATGCACAGAGAAAAAGACACAAACAAAAAGGGAGCTGTGTGACGGGTCCAATCACAATTCAGTAGAATGGATCCATCCATGACCATGATGGGAGCAGTTAAATTTTGCCACAAGTACACCATTTTAATAACCTTTCAACTTTCCTGACCAAAAAAATAAAATTTTCAATTTTCATGCGCTAATTTTGGTGTCCTATCGTATTAAAATTTATAAAATATAAATTATAATTATAAAAAATATAAGATATTATAATTAATCTTAAAAATTATAACATTTAAATGTCAATGAAATATAATTTTATTTTTAAAAATAATAACTTTTAGTATAGTTACAATTTTTTTTTACTTTTTTTGTGGTAATTATTCTTACCACTTTGGCGGTACTTGTGATTGATCTTAAAATGACAAAAGTTATAAATAACCAATAAAAATTGTAAAAACTTTTATTATAAAATGATTCATAAAAATGATAAAAATATCTATTAAAATTATAAAATTACTGTGCCAAAAAAAAATTCTGGTACCATAGTCTTCTCTGTAAGAGGAGATACTGAAGAAGAGTGACTAGACAGTTAGATTTGCAGGTAGAGAACCAGAATTCTGAGCAGTAGAGTCTATGTGATATGTGTGCAGACCTTCCACTTTAGGCCTCTTAACTCTTTAACCCCACCCTCTGCTTTTATGCTGTTTGCTTGATTGTCACCTTCCCCCCAATAATGCTTCAAGTTTTGAACTCAGTTACAGTAGTAACCTGCCACAACTTTTCTTTAGCCATTGAAATTATAATTATAGTATCGTACTTCTAATTTTTATTATTTTAATAATTTTTATATGTTATTTTATAATTAAAAAATTTATTATATTCGTGAGTGATTTATCATTTTTATAAGTATTTTACCATATTTTGTGGTAATTATTTTTACTATTTTTCATTGGTACAAAAAAATTTACCATATTTGTGGGTATGTTTATTACATTTGTGAGTATTTTTATCATTATGTTTATTTTTGTGAGTATTTTTATCATTATTATACCACATTTGTGGATATTTATACCTCTTTATCCATTTTTTGATATACCACAATAGTGATAAAAGGACCCACACATGTGATAAAAATAACCACAAATATATTAAATAGAAGTATGGTATAGAATTTTTTTTTCAGTACCACAGTCAATTCTGCAACTTTGATAACTCTTAGATATCCATCATAATAAAACAAACTTGTCACGTTCTTTTTATTTATTTATTTTTTATAAATGCTATTATTGTGGAGGGAGATGATGAGATTCAAACCCATGATTTTGGAGTCCAATAGCGAGATCAATGACCATTAGACTGTCTGCTAATCTCATACATTCTCTTTAGGTTTTTTTGGTCATTGAAACGGGAGAGGGGCGACCAGACAATAACACTCCCTAGGTGTGACCATGAGAGTTCTCTTACTGTGGACCCAGAAGGATACCACCAAAGCCAATCAATAAACTGCGTTGCTCCCGTGAATCGAACTTTACTTGATAATCACATAAAAGTCAATGACGGCCTTAAATGAATACGACTTATCACTGGATCACTAGGTCGGATGATTTACATTATCTTTAGTTGAAAATGTAAGGTATGCACTTTTGTCTTAATATTATTTACTCCAAACTAAGCTAATTTGGCTCACACAACTCATGTATTACCCCTTAGGGTTTGGCATCGGGGAAGGCTAAACAATTCATGATCGGTTTCAAGTTAGGTAAATCAACCGATGGAATAATTAGTGACCCATTGAGCGAGCCATCCACAATGACAATCTTAAAGGACACTTAAATAAAAATGAGTTAATTATCTATTTGTGTCAATCAAGTTTTTGTACTATGTTTTGTGTAAATTTAACTTCTGAACTATATCATTTATGTTAATGTGACACTTTCGTCCAAATTCGCGGTTAATTTTGAAAGAATTTCTCAAGTGCTCATTATGTGAGTTTAAGATTAGGGTATAGTTTAGGAGTCACGTGTTGTGCACGTGAGAAATTCTGTCAAATTTAACAACAAATTTGGACGAAAAGACCATATTGACACAAATGTTATAATTCAAGGGCTAAATTAAACACAAAGCGTAGTTCGGGTACCAAATACATAGTTAACTCAACAAAAATCGAGATAAAAAAAATTACTTGAATCAAACAAACATTAATTTTGTTCAAGAAGGGTGGATGCAGGTATTCAAGTAGTGTTGGTAAGTCAAGAGCATCAATTGAAGGCCTATATTGGAATAGTTGGGTTGTATTGTTAGATCAGCTAAAATCAATTATTTGGGTATAATGAGTAGAAGACAGATTGTATTAGGCCTTCCTTAGGCAAAAAATAAAGGATACCAACTCTGCCTACATTTACTAAATGTAATCTGGTTGTCCAAGCCCTTTGGCTTTCTCATTGTGTGTGTGTGTGTGTGTGAGAGAGAGAGAGAGACACTAGAATGGTAATCTAAAGCTAGGGCCTAAACTGAGACCATGGGAACATGACAGTTGATAGCCTAAAACCTTATGTGATGCATCCTTTCAATGTACTTTCATAGAGTACATTCAAAAAACTGGAGTGAGGAAATAGGAATTTTGTAGCATATGGAAGTTGATCCTCCTGTTCTTCCTTGAGCCACCTAACAATGAGAATTTGAAGGCATCTGTTAGTCAAGGCCATATAGTTTACAAGATTCTGGTTGTTGTGAGATTGGGAAAAAGTTAGAGACTGCAATATACTTAAATTTACCTCGCGTGGCCCCTCCTTATATGTTAGTCAAGCTAGTCCTACAAAATTTTCATGAAAAATCTAATCACTAATAGGTGCTTGAGACCTACATAATCCCTCTCTTTTTCTAGATTTGATGTGTATGATACCTCTTAGGTACTATATTGTTAGCCCTAGATCTTATTTTGATTTGTTTGCGGCCATTAATTATAAAAACAAAATATAAAAATTATACATCTTATTTTAATTGATGAAAAATAGGAGATATGATACTGAAAAGCTACCTTTCAATACAATACAGTGGTTGAACCCCATAACTTTTAGTATTTACAATAATGTAAGCCATGTTTGAATGTTACAAAGTAGCCCTCACAGTAGGTTTTTGGAGTTGTCTTCACCACTTTATAACAAATGCATTAACAGATAATTGTACTGATTAGTACGCAGTCATAAATTATTTAAACAGCCGATACATAAGACTGTCGGCAATAAAAGACTTCTCATATTATGATGCATCTAGTTTTTGAGGTGGACTAGACCTAGCTTGTTTGGGCAATGGGAATCATGGCATAAAAGTTAGGATTTTCCTTTAGTTCCACTTTTTTGTTTCAATCTTCCTAGATCCAGCGTTGCAGTGGCGAGAATCTTGTGTACTATTAAATTTTATGAGACACAAATATTTTGTCAAGGTTGACGTTTTTATATCGGATACGATATTCGTTGGATACTCAATGATACGTATTAGATACATACTAAATGTATCTAATAATAAATAAAATATATAGATACTTCGTAGATATTTCTATATGTAGAGAAGTATGCGTAATTTTTAGTTTTAATCTTTACCCCTTCTTTTTGATTTCACACACAATGCAATACATTAAAAAAAAATCGTATGACTTTGAAGAAACATGAGTGTTTTCCTTGTATTATACATTATCAAATGTCCAAAGAGTATAAATAGGGTTGTTCACCCTACCCTATGGGTACGAAATATAGTCTTCTGTCTTTTTACCCAATACTTTGCGAAAATTTTTTTCTTCATCTACCCTACCTGATCAGGTGTGATATTCCTACCCAATTAATTTGGTAGGAAGTCATGTAAACACTTTTGTAGTTATTAATTTTTGAATCATTTTAATAATTCAATTAAATAACAGATACCAATTTAACAACACAATAAATTAATAACATTAAAATCTAAAACAACTACAACAAAAATTACAATAAAAAACAAGAAAGAGTGAACATCAACCCATCATAATTGTTACACAAATACAATAACAATTATTTTAAGTTTAAACCATATGAAACACATTAAAATCATAACTACTCCAATAGATTATCATCACAAATCATGTAACCTACACAAAAATAAGTCCATGTTTTAGCAATTCAAACATCCACAATAATAACAATGTTATAATATAAATTATACCACACAAATACTCTTATAATTACTAAAAAAATATAAAAAAGTTAAATATAATTTTTGTGGGTAGGGTAGGTATGCAGAAATTAATAGGTATTTCGCATTCCTATCCGATTTAATCGGAAGATAAAAAACTCTTCCGCATTCCTACCTGATTTTTGCGGTTAACCATTTAGTAAGGTAAAGTAGGGTCGAGTAGGGTAGAAATTTGCGGTCAATCGAAAATTTGAACACTCCCAAGTATAAATGAGTTGATTACACTTTAATTTTAGCAACAAATACTTTTAAGCAAACAATTTAGTTAAATGTTAATTCTTATTTTTTTAATTAATCACGTTCACTTTGTAGATCTATAATAGTGAGACGATAAGATAAATTGTTTAAAATAAAAACTTGTTAATATTGCTTATTATTGTTAAATAATTATTAAAAACTATAGCTATTAAGTCATTACATAATAGTACAAATATAATATATATATATAGACGGATCCTAGTGCATTTTTTATTTTTTAGAATTTTATCATATAATCATATCCGTATCGTATCTTATTCGGATCCCGTATCTGTTTCAGTCCTTCTTAAATTAAGTTTTTTTTAATCATCTAGCATTTCAAAAAAGTTGGACTGTACCTCTCTGTGTTTGAACTGTTGCATTTTAACTTACTTTGTGCAATCTCGTTCTGCCGTGTAGTAAATAATAGGTTGATGATGATGGAATCATTCAAGCAACCATCAAAGTCTTCACTGACTCCTGCATACAGACCCCCCCCCCCCCCCCCTTCTCTCTCTTCACCCACTTCTCTCTCTCTGTCTTGGCCTGAAATTTTCACTGAATGCCTCTCAGGGGAAACATCAGCATGACAACCAGCCCTAGTACTTACGTGTTCTTTGTTCTCTCTCTCTCTCCATCCCTTTTGTCTCTCTCTTCTCTCCCAATCTCACATGCATGCAAGGTGTGTATCTTAAATTCCTCTCTCAGTCTATCTATTTATATCCTCTTTTTTCTTTCCTTCTCTGCCCTCTTTGAAACTCTTAAACCTCCATGCATTTGGTGCAACAGCCCAACAACACAACCCAAAAGAGAGTACTAATGTCTCCGGCAGCTTCATCAAGGTGGTGTCCAACCCCAGAGCAGCTCATGATCTTAGAAGAGATGTATAGAGGTGGTGTAAGAACCCCGAACGCCTCTCAGATTCGACACATAACTTCTCACCTTTCAAGCTATGGCAAAATTGAAGGTAAGAATGTGTTCTACTGGTTTCAGAACCACAAAGCAAGAGACAGACAGAAGCTCAGAAGAAAACTCAGTAAGCAACTCCACCAACAACAACTCTATGAGCAGCAGCAACATAATCAACAAAATCACCACCACCATCACCATAGCCCCCTTCTTCACTACCTTGAATGTCCTGCTTCTTCTTCTGTACATCAGCTTTCTCACTACAACACGGCAGGGATTCTTCAACAGGTAGTGCTGAGTTTCTTGTTCTTTACACACATGATAATGAAATGTGAGTCCATGTAGAGTTCGAGGTGTGAGTCCACATAAAATGTTCTTTACACTTCTACCCCAAGTAGTTGTAGGTTCCAACCTCATCCCTCTGTCCCTCCTCTCCCCTCAAAAAACAGGGAAAAAAAAAAGAGTTCATGTAGAATGGAAGTTCGGGGGATCATTGGCACTCTTTATAGTTCTTACATAAGATATGTTGCTGCATAGAGAGGGTAAACTAGGTAGAATCTGGAATCCAAGAGTACATGCTGGTGAACTCGCTCGGCCCACGAGGACTGTGAAGGAATATAAATATTAACCTATACTTAAACGTTTAGATGATATGATGGTTCTAGATGATATGATAGTCTACCTGCCACCCTAATAGAGAAAAAAATTTCAAGTATTTGGCCCAAAATCTAAAGGTGACCTGTTGAAATATATAAATATTGATGTTACACCATTTCTAATAGTTTAAAGTTTAAGATAAAATGGTGATTTATTAAGGTACTAGCAATTCCAACTTAAGCAAGCATCGGAGTCATTTTCTTTGTTTCTGACACAACTGTGATTATCATAATCTCTGGTTAAGTTTATTTTATGTTTTGAAGAGACCTAACATGCAAATTCTAGCTAAGATTTTGTACGTAAAATTGGGAAGGACATGTAACTAAAACAATTTTTTTTTTGAATTCTCTACTGATTGTGTTGGGTTAGGGCGGTGCTGAAGATGCATCAAGACAAATGATGAATTACACATGGAAGGTGGATCAACCAGAAAGGTTTGAGATTGAAAATTCTATGCCCAGAACGTACAGTCGTGATTGGAGGATGCTGATGCTGATGGATGTGGGTCCAACTCCAACCACTCCTTGTTGCAGTAAACCCATGAAAACCCTAGAGCTCTTTCCCATCACAGCAACCAGTCTCAAAGACCAGTGCACCAGCCACATCTAAGCATATCTTTTGCTCCAACTCCACCAACTCTTACCTCTCTCTCTCTCTCTCTCAAAGCTAGGTAGTAGCTATTGTTGGACATTGTACCTGTGACTCATCATGTTGGTTCTTGTTTTCTGTCTCTAGACCCTGGAGTGAGAAAGATCTCAATTGGCTAATTAGCAATTCGTACTCAATCTAGATCGCACTGTTTATTTCCACATCAAATTTGTATTGTGCTTGAGGAGGGTTTTTTTTTTTGTATTGATATTGAATTTGTCTCTACATGTGGAAAAGCTGCAAGGTACAACATTAGAACTTTGCACATGTAGATACAGCCTTTGTTTGCCCTAGGAGGCTAGGACTGTTAGACAAGTCTATGCATAAATCATCAGCAGACTACAACAAAGCATGGATATGAGCATATTTAATAACCCAAAAAAAAACACGTGCAAATTTAGAAACTTACGGAAGAAATTGAAAATAGAGAGTAACCAAAGCATTATCAAAATACCAAAATAAATTTCTTTTAAAATTACTCTTTGGTCTTTTCATATGCAACAATGCTAATATTGTCTAATTTGTCAATATATCATTTATGACTATTTCACTTCATGTTTCCTGTGACAGCTTGTAAAGAATCTAAGATTTAAAAAGCTTCTTTGTGCATACCTTTTGAAGGAAAAAGATTGCTCTTGCTCGCAGATGCTAAGTAGTAGCACCTTTGTGTCATTTCCAAAGTTAGCAACTTACTGACTATGTTCTGAAAAATTAAAAAAAAAAAAAGAAAAGAAAAGAAAAGAAAGAGTAAAAGTGAGGGAGGGAAGATGGGAGGATAACCAACAGCTCAGCACTAAAGTTTTGTTCCACCAAAGGCCACACTACTCATGACTCAAAGCGAATACCTATGAGATCTCATATCAGATTGATTACCCACTTGGTATGCAAGTTGTTGACATTTCACATAACTACTCTAGAAGTTCTCCTTGTGAAAATGGAAGCGAGTTGATGAATTTAGGCTAAATTCTTGGCAAAGCTTCTTGAGTGGTTTTGTAAGCGTAGGGCTCCCACAGTAGAAGACACCTGAAATGAACAGTATGAGAGATAATCAAAGGCAGAAACCATAATTGTTAGACCTGGAAATCTTAGTAGTTTCTTAGCTTCAAAATGCATTTACTATCTGTATATTATTGGCATCACGGATACATTAATTTGGACTGCACTTACCAATCCGGGAAGACCCATGAATATATGCCAAATGGGAGAACACTTTTTTCCAGTTGGGTCTTGCAAAATGCGTTCTTATCTGTTGCAGTGGAATGCTAGTCAGTGAATAATTCAGTTGTGGAATGCTAGTCAGTGAATAATTCAGTTGTGGAAAGAAGGGTGGGGGGGTAAACTATGGTACCCAAGTCGATATTGTACCAAAAGTTACAAGTAAATAGTGACTAGTTTGATATTACGTTAAGATTAAACAATGTTAGTTACGACTCCAAAAATGTTGGGATCAATGCCAAAATATTCTGATGGATCCCAAACAACCCCATCATATCGTACCCTTAGATGACTGAGTCGTCAAATTATCTGATTTTGTTGTAACTTTCGGTACAACACTAAAAAATAACCTTTTAATATGACAGTGTGTGGAGGGTCCCTTGTGAATACCCGACTTTCTGATACAACATCAATTCCATTCTTAGCATGTTGCAAAGACTGCACCATGGCAATCAGTGCAGAACGCACATCTCCTTCTTCATACACACAGGTCAAGTAATTATGCATTTCGATTACATGCTGCAACATTCGAACTCCCATATAAGAAATAATTCAATTGATTGTATAAATGAAGGAAAGAGCAAGAGAAGCTGATTAGTTTTGGTTTCAGAACCCACATTGAGATCATACTCTGCAATGTCATCCATGACACCTTTGAACCATTCGAAGGAACCTTGCTCCCTTGTCACCCAATAGAAATATGCTCTTTCTGGAACTTTCTTGTGTTCCTGCAGTAGTTGAATCCTTCACGGCTCATCATATTTAGGTCTTGTCATGATGTCATGTTGATTTTGTATGGTGTCCGGGCATATGTTCATGGTAATAAAAAATCGTTTAAATCTAAAATACTAAATGAAATAGAATAGATCAAGAAAAGAAAAAATAAAAAATCAGATATCTTCTTCTTGAGGTTGTGGATTCAACCAGAAGGTAGCCACTTTGGCCAAATAATGTCAAGGGTTAGATTTGTACACACTCTACCCCGCACAAATCCCCATTAATGTATACTAATTAGGTGTTATTTATGCTTAAAACCGACCCGCCTGTTTATTATTCGTGTCATTTGCCTTACCATTATTGAGTTCATGCCGCATCAGGCTTGTGACATATTTGTGTTGATGACTAGATTTGACACTCTCATTTTCATGGTATAATTTCATATTTCCACCCGTTACTAACAAAGATAATGCTACCTCACCTTTTAACTTACCGTTTGGGTGTCACTTGGTTTGATGTTGTTTAGAAGGTCCTTAATAATGCTGATGAAGGGGGTTGCTCCGATTCCCAGCCCTATGAGTAAAAGGATGTCATATTTCTTGTAGTTCTGAGCCGGTGCTCCATAAGGTCCTTTGATGATGATCTTTGGAAATCTGCCTCAAAAGAGAAGGACTATCAGATACAATACTTAAAGAAAGATGTGCATCACTAGCAACATGACCTGGATCCTTCTTACCCTGCCTGAGATTGTTCGTAATTTGAATATGCTCGAGTTTCCATTCTAACCAGATTTCCCCTTCTTGGTTGTGTAACTTGAGGCTCACAGGCCTGCATTTCTGTGCTTTAGAATAGTTCAGAGGAAGAAAAAAGAAGAGAAGTAAAAGAACAAAGAGTTCGCATGTGGACACTTTATTTATACAAAGAATGGTCATGGCCAAAATTCATGGGAAAACTCTAGGAGTTATTTGACAACAATATGAACATAACCAAGTTATATTTATCAACAGCAGCAGTTGCAACATGTGAACGTCTCAGTAATTTGGGTTCTTTTGGATAAATAAGTGAAAAAACATTGATCATGTGCCTAGATTAAATTTTGGGGAGGGTCTCTTTACAAATAGATATGAGTTGTCCCTTTGGGCCAATCAACCTGGGCATGAGTAAGGGCGTCAATTTTATCCATTGACAAGAACATGATAAGAACCTGACATGACTCAACAGAAATTATAAATGGGTTAAGTTAATGTCAGCCACGAATAATAACCCATTTAGCTCATATTGTAAGGAAATAAGCATTTTTTCCTTTGATGTTTGTTTATCCGGCATTATCAAATAGTTTTATCAGCACGAATGAAAACAAAAAGATCTGAATGTGACATGACTCGAGGTGACATTACATGACTCGATTGGCATGACTCAACAAATAACGAACGGCTTCAGGCATTGCAACAGAGTATAAGCACGTTACCTTAGCAAATCTGTTCTTAAGCTCTGTAGTCCAGTCTCCCAAAGTACGTATGTGGACACTCAAATAGTCATCGTCTGGCGCAGAAGTGATGGAGAATGGATGCCTAAAAATGTTAAAAACGTGGGTTATCTATCAGCTACAGACATATTCCTGGATTGGCAACATTTTGCTCATAATTTTATAATGTTACCATTCAAAACTTGATATATCTAGACATTTGACGAAAAGGTACATTCCACTCTTGTATTTGAATCCTGGAGGTTTGCTCATATGAAGTGCTAAAACATTTCCTGTATATATAATAGCCTGCATTGTCCAAATGTTTTGCTGGGTTGGAAGTTATTAAAGTTCTGAGAGAAAACACAAGTGATATAGCTAATAAGTACCTTGATCATGTTGATGCAATAATTAGGGTCATAAACAGTGAGAATTCTTTCACTGGCATAGAAGAGCATCGGGATAAGGAGGTACATCCAAGTCTGGAAGAAAAATTAAGATGGAATGTTAGTAAAATCTTATATATGATCAAGGGGAGAAACTCAAGAAAGAAGTACAGATCTAAATGAGATGGACATGTTGGTGCAAAAGTAACTTTACACATGCATCTGTGAATTGTGAAATTGGTTATTAGGTATAGCTCAGAGACAGATAAAGTTAGAATCGTGAATATTCAGCTTCAAAATGAAATGAGCCAGTACTCCACTAGGGTGTTTAACTGCTATGAGTTTACAAGGGTGGATCGCAGGTCCCATACCCAACAATCTCCCCAGCAACCACACTTGGGTCACTGGAACCCCTGACCCAGGATCTCATACCACTGTTTAATGTAAGAGTCTGCACCATTGCTTCTAAAATCAATTAACGACTGTAGTATTGCGCTTTATAATCTTTAAAATTGTGGCGCTTAGTCCACTAGGATGATTAGTCCCAACAATATCAATCGGTTAAGCAGAATCCTATGCTATCATTTGCTAATCTCGTATTATTCAGTGTTTCATGTATGATTCAAAATTCAACGAGTATGATGTGATAGCTCAACTGTTTATGCATAATGAAAAGCGGGCATGTAGTTCTAAATTTGGTGAAAAAATATAAAGCTGACATACCGTCTTCTTGTACCATTCCTGGGTAAAGAATAAGCAGTATCCATGAATGAGCAAGAGGGCGTAGACAAGTACCAGAAGATGATGTGCATACCAGAAAGCATTAAACCCTGCTAAATGGTGAAATGGCCATGGCAGTGCTATGGCATTCCTCCTGAATGAATGTGTTGCTAGCGTGAAAGAGAAAGTCATCAGGATGATCATTAAAATGCCAGTTAGGCCAGGGATACTTTCCACCATGCCCCCATAAGTTGGCTGTTTGTAATTGAACTGGCGTCCCAGAATGCTAATAAATTCATTATTTGGGCAAGTTGTTATTCTTACAAAATTGCAAGCTACATGCTGTAGAGTATGAACCAAAGTCCCCAAAGCAATCCCTACTGCAATTAACTTGTGAAAGTTGATGTTGTCGTCAAAAGGGATTAAGGTGCCAAGGAATGTTTCTCGGAGCTTGGTAAGGGTTCTTCTGCATACAGTAAGAAGGATGAGAGCCATATTGAACTTGATAGTCTCAGCGGCTCCCTTGGCAAGGCATAAACAATATCCCATTATTTGGAATACATCTTTTTGTCTGAATTCAAGGAACTTCCAAGTAAAAAGTATCAAGTTCAAGCATAACCACCATGTGAGAACCCATATCTTCCTCCAGTTCTCATGTATTTTTTCCGAGGCTTTAGACTGGAATTTGCTAACTGGGGTTCTATATCGCCTTGGAATCATGCTTTTTGCGAGAGTCACTGTTTTGAGCTTGGTCCATTTTTGGCCTTCTTCGGGACTCCCCATTCCTCTTAGTAGAGTTTCAAGTTGCCACATCTGTTTTATGTATAGAAATTAAATAAGAAGAAAAAGAATAAGAAGATAAAAGAAGAAGAAGAGTTTGAACACATTGTCACCTCTATAAAACCCAAATGGTCAGGATCAAGTTCTTCCATGATTAAGGCTGCATATGTTGTAGCATGTTTCTTAAAATTGGCAAGCTTGTTTGCCGAGGCACTCATTACTAAAACCTTTTCCATAGCAATAGTAAGAAGTTTAATGTATAGTAAAGGAAGAAGAAAAGGATTCAGATGTTTTATTACCTCACCTCTTCCACCTCATCCTCTGATAGCTTTCCGTCGCCATTCTTGTCACACCTGGAAGATCCCTATGTTTACTTATTTGTGCACTTGTTTGCTCGACACCCAAGAGAGAGAGAAAGAGAGTTCCTTACATGTCAAAGAATATTTGAAGCCGTGTATCAATGTCTTTATTTGACATGTCTTCCCAAAATTGCCTTAGTTCTTCCTGAGTTATTCCATTTGCCGCATTGATCCTCCTTCGCCTTGCCAAGGCATCAAATAGCTCCACTGCAAATTCCTTGCTGTCTCCCATTCCTTTACAAGAAAAATGATACCCAGTTTTTGCTTTTGAATCATTAAAACAGAGAAACCATATTAATAAGAAGAAATTCAATAAGAATACCAATGCAGGCTCCAAATTTGTCTCTAAAGAGCCTCCCATCAACTGCACATTGGTTGAAACGTTTCTCGATGGCCTTCCACGCTTGCCGTTCCTTCCCCGTGGTGGTTCTGTCGAGGAACCGTAAACTTCTGAGCCCTCTATCCGCTCCTGATTGTAGCCTTTGCATCCCAGGGACGGTACTCTGAACTCCACTCCTCTTTCTAAGACTGCTGTCATTCCTCTTGAAAGATCTTTGATTTGGACATGCCGGCACTGACTGTTGGTTATCAATGGGCACATCCACCATATAATCAATGTCGACATTCTCAAGAATCCATTTTACTGACTCCCCTCTAGTCAATTCTGCATTCTCAATTGGTCCCATGATAAAATTTCCTGTTTTTCTTCTTCTTTTTTCTTGATGTGAAGGTTGCAAATTTTCGGTATGAAGGGAGAGAAAGATTCACGAGTTGGATCTGGGATGTAGGATGCTGTAACAGAGAGAACGAGGGGGAGAGAAAAAACGGACAGAATAGCTGAAAAGGAGGGGGTGAGTGAAGGCATGGTTGGTATTTGGTGTCCAAAAATAGGAAACAAGCAGAGTTTCTCAATACAGTCTCCACATGGCGGGCACCAAATTATACTGTTTTATGCTCACTTTATCTTAAACCAACCGAGCATATCCCAATCATTTGAGTCCATTATATGAGTCCGTCTTAGCCATTCATTTCAGTCACAGTTTATCTTCAGCCATGCATTTCGTGAGTAATGATCAATCATATATCCTGATCGAAAAATAGAAATGTATAAAACCCATATGATTGGATTCACAAAATGAACGAATAACCTTTATTGCAGTATATATATGTGTAGCACCACCCCTAAAGACCTGTTACCAAGAAAACCGGAGGTAACTATCACTAGAATTCCAAACCACTTGTCCTAAAGAGGAAGACCGTTGGTTCAGGAATATTGTCAAACAGTTTCCGGGCGAATAGGATGTGGGTTTTCAATGATCTTTGTAACAAGGATTTGGATGAAGTCTAGGCCATCTCTGAACTTGTCTGTGTGTATTTGCTGCAGTTGGTTCAAAAGAAACTTCAACTATGTGAAGGCTGGGATTTGTAGGACAGTCACTAACCCACAACTGCACCTACCGACCACCACAATCCAGTCAGAGACTGAGATGCAAATATAGAGGATGAAAGTTGAGTAGGTGCAGAGAAAAAAGGGTGGATGGCACGGGCGGAGCCACCCTTGGACCAGGGTGGGCACGTGTCCCCTCTTTTTTTTTTGATATTAAATGTATATTAAAATAAAATTTAAATTTATTTAATTGTGTTCACCCTTAAATTTTTTTTATATTAGATATATATTTTTTAAAATAAAATTTAAATATATTTAATTATGTCTATCTTATTATTGTGATATCGATTAAGATAGACCGTTACTTAAATAATAATTAATTTTTAAATAATATTATTAAAACTAATACATTGTGATATTAAATATAATAGTGAGTTCATATATTTAATAACGTCTAATATCCATCCATTAGTTTCCTACCACTTAAATTTTGAATTTTTTTTCAGGTCAAGAAATAAAATTAAATTTCGAATTAGATGAAACTATTATTATTCTTAAATTTTTAGACACATTTCAGATATGTCAAAATAATTTTTAGACATATCGCAGTCATTTTTCTAAATTATAAAATTATTTTGTTATTTTATAAAAATGAGCGTCATTATGTAATAAAAATTACATGTTAATAAATGAAATACTGTTATTGTCATTTTGTTTATAAAAAAAATATTTTATTGATATCATTGATTTGTAATTTTTTTAAATGATAAACAATAATCAGATTCAATTATAAAATAATAATAATTAGTGTCATACAATATTTTAATTAATTTATTTTTATTTTTTATTTGCTCATTTCATGCAAATCATTTTTTAACCTTTTATGTTTAATGAATTTCTACGTATAATTATAGTAAATATGAATTTAAGAACATTGTGGTCAGTTAAAATAAAAAATACTATTTAGATCTAATTTGATGACATATTCAATGTACCTCTTTGATTGAAAGTAAACTCTATCTAACGTTGAAATTTACAACTAAAATAATAGTTACATTGAACTAAGTCTCTATAATATTAATAAAAAAATTTAAAATTTATTAATATGCCCACCCTAAAGTATATTTTTGGCTCCGCCCTTAGTGGATGGTTCTTGAGAGAGGGGGCATTATGGGAGAAAATATTGGGGGTAACATCTACAAGTAGCAGTGTTACATGATATAACTTTTTCCTAATAAGTGAATAAATTTGTAAGTGAATTTTATAAAAATTTATAGTCACTCAATTTTATAATATATAATCACTGTGTTAAGTAGTGGAGTCTATTTTATATGTTTTATAGTTTTTCTATTAAATAGGTACACCATGTGATAATGCTCATATTGACATAATAAAACCGTTTGATCTAATATTTACTCGCATTGTGGTATTTAGCTGATATTTGAATAAATCTCATGGGCCTATAGGTGATTTTATCAAAAAATATAAGAATAAATTATCTTTAGTTTTTGTGGCCCCCAAACAGTACAATGAATTCAAACTTGCACCAATTATTATCTTAAACTCTATGGTTGGTCACCTTAGTTTGAGCTGAGTTTAGGGTGGCTAGCCTTTAAGAATTGTGAGAATGAATTAAACCTGAGATGTGTGAATTATCAAAAAAAAAACAAGTTTAACCATTAAACAACTCCTAACGATTTGTGTCATGCTCCTATTACAACAGTACCCAATTAGAATTCTTTGCGCACGAAAGCGTTTCTATTTGACTAAATATTCAATGTAACTATTATATCAAACAGTAATATCAAGTGATATCTAATACAAGCCCGACCCAACAGTTTGAAAAAAAAAACATGGATTTTAGGCCACAAATTTTTAGAAAGCCCATAATTTTAGGTAAATCAATAGTCCATAAAAAAATTAAATCCATTAAATTTTAAGTTCTACAAAAAAATACTAAAAAATTAAATCTAATCAAAATTTTTATTGTAATAATTTGAGTCCATGATCCAATCCATAATATTAAAAACTTAAAAGTTAAAAAAATAAAAAAAAATACTCAAAAGTCAACTCATATTTACTCTCTCTCTCTCTCTGGTAAAAGAAATAAAAAACAGAAATAAAAGTTAAAATTAAACACTCTCTCTCCCTCTTTGTGGTAAAAAAATAAAAGCAAAAATTGAAATATTTTTCTTGACAAAATTAACACATCCTTCTTTTGTCTCTCTCTCACATAAAAAATTAAAAATAAATTAATTTTTCTTAAAAAATAATATTAAAAATAAAAAAGTCTTATTTAATATTTTCGCTTTAGGTCTTAAATTACCTTGAACCGCCTCACCCCTGATCTAATAAAAATATGATGAATTTGATAAATTGAACTTCTTTAACTTACATGGGGTGGATTATGCTGAGAAGTAAGTTATTTAATTGTATGAGATTCACTTATTTTCTTAATATATTTTTATTGGACGACAACAACATGTGACAATGATGTGAAATATTTTTTTTTTACCTCTATTCATATTTATGGCATATAGATGTTTCAATAGGTATGTTTTACCAATTCTAACACAATAAAAATGATTGGTCTTCCTCGAATTTATATTTTTTTTTAATTTCTTTCTTTACGGATCAGTTATCATGAATTTAAGTAGAATTTACTGTACAAATAAATCTCCCATTCATTAATATTAATAATTGATAATTCATTAGAAAATAAATCTATAATATAAAACAGAGCGGTTTCAACAAGCTTATCCTACAGTCTCAAATTCATTAATTCAACGGTCAAGAAATTACTTTTTTTCCCTTAATATTCCCCCCCCCAAACCAGTCAATAATTACAGCTGATTTTAGATACATATTACGATCTCAAATTCATTTACCCAACGGTTAAGATATTACAATTTTTTCCTTAATATTTCCTCTCAATTAGTCAACGATTATAGCTGATCTTGGAACATGGATTTTCTTTAACAAAATAATTAAATGAGTCAAATTTGCCATTAATATCATCTGTGTAATGTAACATTTTGAATTTTCTTAAGACACAATAATAATATTTTAATTAAAAAAAACTCATCAATTTAACAAATAAAAAAATAAGGGCACTATTTAACACATTTATATTGAATATAATTAATTTTAATTTTATTTATTTAATTAATTATCTGTAACTAACATGTCTTACACATATCTTGAATCAAAAGTTCAGGACTAAATTTTTTTATCTCTTAAGAAAATTCAACACTAATATATTCTTACAAATTAATAATTTTGTAATAACTTGTACTAATTAAAAAAATAATATTTTATAAATAGTATTTCTAGAACTTTTTTTGATAGAACATATTTGGCGATATGCTTTTTGATAAATTAGATTTTTAATTTGTATTACATTTGACTCGATTTTGATTACATGCATATAAATTAATGTTTAATTTTGATTACATGTATATAAACTAATATTTTTTTAAGTAAATTGTATCATATTTAATGGATCTATCTATAATATAAAACAGAAAAGACTTTAATAAATTCATTCCACGGTATCAAATAAACTCATTTAACGACCACCAACATCTCTTTGAAAACCATTCAGATTGAATTTTATCATCCTTTTCTCACTCGTCACTCACTCTTTCTCTTTTTCTCTCTCTGGCAGTGACGGATAGAGGAGGAGTCTAGGACCACCATGAATTTTTTATTTTTTTAAAGTTATATATGTTTTTTGGGATATCTATATAATAAAATAGCTAGATTATTTGTTTTTAACTTTTCGCGACTCAGTTCGTTTTAATCTGATGGTCCTAATTAGACTTTCATTCTTTTTACAACTCTAAGTCTCTCATATAATTCTCTTTATCTATCTATCTTACATTTTTTTCTCTCATACTATTATCTTTTTTTTTTCTCTTGTGTTATTTTTGCTATTATTTACTTCATAAAACATATGAAACTACATGTCATCTAATTATTTATTCCTTGAAACTAATTCAAAATTTTTAAATATCTAATCGTACGTATTTTGTTACTTGCTTATTAATTTATAAATAACACTGAATATAAATAAAAACTAGCACATTGACTATAAACACCAAATAATATTTAACATAAAATGAACCTTAGATTGTAAATTAATATATATTTTTATCAAAAATTGACACTTAATTTTCTCTAATTTATATTCAACTTTATCATAGTAATATCAAATTAATATTAAAATTTATTTAATCAATTTTTTTGAGTACTAAATTATATCAATTTTTTGAGTACTAAATCAAATTTTATTTTATT